TTTTTTTTATTTTGTATGTATGTATGTATATGCATATATATATATACATATATATGTGTTTATATATGTATATGTATATATAAATATATTTGTTTGTATGTATATGTATATATATATTTGTATAGATGTTTGTATATATATGTGTATGTTTTTTTATTTTGTATATATATTTATATTTTTATTTGTATATAGATATGAATATATATGAATATATATATATATATATACATATTGCTATTTATTTATTTTATTTTAAATTTAAAAAAAATCGATTTTTTTCATATTTTTTGGAATTTTTTAAAAATATGATGTGGCATGCTGATGTGGCAAAAAATCTATGTGGCGTGCCACGTCAGCCGCCACGTGGCGTGCCACGTCAGCGGTTAACGGACACTTAACACCGTTTTCGGATTGTGTAGGAAATTGCAGTTAAATTGGGTAGTTCGTGTATCAATTTGGCACATTTGATAATTTGGTGTAGTTTTTTGTCAAATTAAAAATTCGTGTAGGAAAAGGTCACATTTTGCAAAGTTGGTGTAGGAAAATGTCATTTTCCCTTTATTTTATTATTTTCCCAAAATTTAGATAGAGAGTTACCCAAATTTCATATCAGCTTTGACTTTTATGGTCAATGTTGGTACGTTTAGACTAATCGGTCCATTTAGAACTTATCAATACTAGTAACAGAAAGATGTAGAGATTTATATCCATATAATTACTACTCCTTTCTATTGGTATTATTGATATTAAATGTTGTTTAAGACTTTTATTTTTTAAAAAATAAATTCGATTCATGGTTTTAATACAAAATTTGTAAAGCAAATACCATTTTTTTTATCTTATATTCTAAAGATATCACAATTTCCAAAATTTCAAATATACAACATTATATATATTATATATATGTGTCTATGTGTGTATCTTTGGAAAGTATAAAACGATATTTTTCGGACTAACGAAATTATAAAACATTCATTTGCCATTTATACGGATTTTTTTTATGGAAGTATTCATAAAACCAAGACAGATAAAAGGTATGAAATAAGAATTTAAGATCGAAAATTTTATGCTTTTTTTCCTTTTTAACGTTTTGATTTTTAATTTATTTGCATTTAGTGTGTGTAATGAAGTTGCCCGAAATCTTTATTTGTACGATTAAATAAGAGAAATTGGTTTCATCATATTTTATAAATGCAATTTCAACGCACAACGTAACCAATCTTTGCATGGTCCTACGTATTAATGGAATTTATGGCCTATCATTATAGAGCCATAATTTCATTTCCCTTTCATAATTATTTTATTCCTCATCTTAAAGACCTTGTCCCCCGCCGTTATAATTATATTTTGATGGATCCAATGTTATTGAAGTAGTTGGTGTCATTATTGTTTTAGTGATTAATCGAATACTTGATTAAAAAACATATTAGATGATGATTAGTGTTGATTTTAAAATTGTAATAAATCGTCACAAATATTAAAATTAGTTTTTATATACTTTTACACTATAATGATCATAAAAATGGTAATTTTTATAGTTAATCCTTTTTGCTCTTTAAATAATCGAGTTGCAAAATAAAATCTAAATTTACAATGGATAACTTTTAATGTATGATCCCCGTCCGTATCAGAAATTTTTTGTTATATTTTGACATTTTACTGTCCATTGTCTTTTTTTTATAAAACATCAATTTCCTATATTAGGATTGTTAGTTTTAAATATATTTTAGTAAAATTTTAGAGAAGTTCAATGATTATTTGAGATATGAATAAAAAATAATTAAATATATTGGAAACAAATCATTTTTCAGTAAATTACAAATTACGAAGTACATTAATTAATTCATTAGCTTGATAACCAAAAGATGATAGTTTACAATTTACATAAAATGTAACCGAACAATCTTAATAAACATTTTATTTGTGAGATTATATACGAAAATGATAAACTAAACAAATAAAGTGAAATGCCATATGGGGTTGTCTACCATTTATTCAACAACATGATTTTGATTTATCAAAAACTGCCAATTTACGAATTGTCAATCCTCACGTACATATAATACATTTAATAGAAGAAAAAAAAACATATACCCGAAAATGAGTTTTGTTGCTTCCTCGTTGGTTTTGCTGGTTTGGAGTTATCACAACATCTACTTGGCCTGTATATTATATGGTCACTACTTTTAACATTTTTATTACAAAAAGATTCAAACTTTAGGATATGGTCACTTGCTAAAAATGGTGGGTGACCATCCAAATCGTCCTTCGAATTTTATTTTTCGATTTGGCTGAAAAATCAGACTGCTGTTTACTAAAAAAAAAAGAATTAGAGGGAGAGGGAGAGATTAAACCGGGGGTAGGATAACCGGTTCCGGTTATCAGGTTGAAGGAATAACAGAGAGTTCCAGTTTGCCGGTCCATTCTTCGCCCGGTTTCAGGGTGATGGGTTTCTCAATGGCTGCACCATCAACACACAGCATACGCTTGTACTCCTCATCTCCCAAATCCCCCAATATTTTCGATTTCTTCTCCCATGGATTCCATACCACTGCCCATTAACAACAGAAAATGCATTTCGGTTAATGGGTCGGTTAAGGTTTGGTATTAGCAAACCAGTTTAGGGGAGGATGCATTTCAGTTCAGGCAAGTCCTAAACCAAACGGAAGGCATTTGAGAGTAAGAGAAGGAAGATCTTTCTTTACCAACATCGGGTAGCCCTTCTTTCTTGATGAGGAAAGTCCGCTTTCTCTCATGGTCAAATACTGCAACGACATCTTTAGAACTGATATACACTCTGTCGACCTGCACTCAGTTTTAGCCAGCAATATTCAATCCACGTGGTTTATTTCTATATATGGAAACAAACATAAGTCCATGTTATGAACATATCACCTTGAAATACGTTCTTGTCGTCTTTGGAGGTTTGTGTGATTCATCATGCCACGTGTTGTGCCATATATTTAGAAAATACTTTTCCCATTGGAACCGCTCCTTTTCAAGTAAGTTGTCAAGATAGTCAAGAGTTTCCAACCCTTCAATCCTAACTTCACTGGTGAAAACCGGAAACGAATGTTGGATTTGGCAGATGAAATGCAAAGTATGATAACTTAGCCTTTACCCCTTTATCCAGAAAAGAAAAAAACTTGTCTTTTACCTGATATCAGATATGGAGAAGTATGTGTGGTATGCAATGGAAAAGCTAAAAGGCTTGGAATTTATATTCCTGACTCGGGATATCAGCCTTAGGTTCCCATCCGATGCCAATGAAACCCTCAGGTGAAACTCAAAACTGAGACAATTCCAACATCATCGATCATTCCGAGTGAGATCTGACCAATCAACAAATTAAAAATGTATATATAGTTTCGTGGCAATCGAACCTGTGAGGCCAAATCCTCAAATCTTCATCAGACGGCTTAAGTACCAAATCGACATAGGTTTTGTCTGTTGGATCAAACGAGGGCAAAGGAGGCGGATCTCTTTCCACAACCCAAATCTTGTTCCTTGCAAACCCATGTTGCTCAAGTGATCCCCGAGTTCCAAACTTTTCGGAGTTAATCAACCCAATTCACAAAATAATCAGAACCCATATACTTACGTCCAAGTTCATGGAGAAGCTGGAAATATATTCTTGTGATGCGAGAATGGTACCTGAGGGAAACATATAGGGATTCCTCCTCGTACTGGATGTGGTGGCTTAAAGACAGCCTGAAACAATAACATTATTCTGCTTCATCTAATTCTGGAAAATGTTATGAATGGAGTTGGAGAAACACCAAAACCAAATGATATACCTTAGAGCTTGTGAACAATAGTTCATCACCACGCTCATTCTTCCAAGAAAGAACTTGCGCACCATGTAAGCTTATCTGAACAAAGCATCAAACCACAAAATCTGCAGCTATCAGCTTCTAAAATCATCAACTAAGACAGTTCAAGTAACAATAGCTTAGTCAAGAATCGTGAACTTGGCCGTGAAGTTCCAATAGCTTATTCAAGGACTGAAACCTAAATCTTAGACTGGCGGAAACATAAAAACCGAGATTAGGTCCTCAACCATGAAAAGATTGCAAGAGAAAGCCCATAGGCTATCATTTTCTAAAAACAGAAATGCCCAGATTTCCCTGAAGACCAAACCTAACCTGAAAACTTGATCATAACAATGACTTAGGTCAACTTTTCAAGAAGGATCAAAACCAAGCTCTAAGGTGAACAATTCTAATTCGGGTTTCACACGAAACCACGTTCCCAAGAGTTTTCATCTGATTATCCTCTACTAATCATGAGATTTGACGACAAATACAATCCCATGAATCAAAGAGACCGAACTCTCCGGCCAATCAAATGGACGAGAAAGGTCTTAGCGCTCTGAGATCACCCGCTTATAAGTTTTGAGCATCCAAGAATTGTATTACCAATCCTTGAAACATTCATAGATAAGAAAATTGGGCTTTAAATCATCACAGTTTAACAAAGATATTAAGAGATTCAGCAGAGGTAAAAATCGAACAGTTGGCGCAGGAAAATCCAAGGATCAGATATCGAATTATTCACTAGAAAATTTCACCTCGAATCTGAAATCGGAGAATCAATACGATTTCTTTACACTGCAACACCAACTCTAAATAAAGCCACCAAATTTTTTGTTCCAGAGGCGGCAAACATAAGAGATTCGGGTGAGGAAAAACATCGAACAGTCGGTGTGGTGTACGAGGATCTACGATCACTTTCAAGAACCTGAGAATCAGATTCCGAATCCTAAATCGAAGAATCACGAAGTCCATTTCATCTCATTCCTAGAAAAAGTAGGTGGGAATGAAGATGCTCTCACCTTTACAGAAGCTCCTTTGGGATTCCGGAGCAGAATCTGATCGATTCCATTCCTGTCCTTGGCGAAGTCAACGAATGGTCTCCGAACAGCAACGGCTCCGGACGATTCCATTGTGAACCTACGAAACAATCGGGCGTATACCCACGATTTTGACCAGAAAAAGGGCAGAGAAATCACGAGAGAGAGCTCGTGAGAAACTTTCTTGTGAATCCAGCAAGAAAACTCACAATGTTGTTCTTGTGGATTGAAACCGAAACCCCAACCACCTGTTCAACTGTTAAGTCCCTTTCCTCGCCGATAAAGTCGCAAAAGATGTCCAGAGAGGATAAAAAGGAACACGAAGCAAACCCTCGTGAGGCCGAAACTGAAACGGAAGACCCTGGAAAATCACCCCAAACACACGTTTTCCGGGAAAGAAACACCTAATTTTTCCCGGAAAAACGACGAACACACTCAGACTGGGATCTGGATCGTAAGAAATTTTCTTGGGAGAAGATTCCGATGTATGCCCGTGAAGAGGCGTATATGTAAAGACGGAAGGAAGAAAGGGATCTTGGGTGTCTTTTTGGGAGAAAATATCACAACTTTGAAAATTGGAAAGAGACTCTGTTGAACGGATTAACGGATAATTTCGCCAGGGGATCATCTACTTGTGAGGTTAATTAACTGTTTCTTAATTAATCTGGTCCAATCTTTATATTTTGTTTAGATTTGTATTGTAATATTTGATCTGATTTGTAAAATCAAATAAGTAAAATCCTAACTAAAAAATTAAACATATTTTTGCCAAAAAAATCGATCAGAAATTATAAACATTTCGAGAAATTTCATCATTTTTTTTATAATCATCACTACGTAATTTGGGTATAATTTATTTAAACCCTTTTTTGTAATTGATATTATATAAATCATTCACTGTAACGTTTAAATAACATTCTGATTAGCTATTTAATCAGGTAATTAATATAATTAAACCCAAAAAGAAATGACAGCTGGCAATCATGAACGGTATGGGGATGGGCGGATCTAGACATGCCGCCATGATTAACTGAATTAACTACCTGTACACGCATGGAGGGAATAATTAATTGCTTTTGCTTCATATTTTTTAGGTAATATCATTTTTATTTATATTATCTGCCTTTAGACACTATACTATTTTAAGAAAACAATATATTTAGTATTCTAATTTATATTTTTAAGTAGGGGTGACCATTTCGGTTATTAACCGAATAACCAAGCCGAACCGAACCGAATAAGACATAACCGTATCTGAACCGAACCCGATATCAAAACCGAACGGTTATGATTTACTTAAACCCGAAAAACCGAAACCGAAACCGAACCGAACCGAATAAAAAATAACCGAAAAAACCGAGAGAATAACCGATATTTTCTTTGGAAAATTGAACTTTTTACCAAAACCGAACCGAACCCGAACCGAAAAATAACCGAACCGAACCGAACCGGAATTTATATAAAAACCGAATGGTTATAGTTTTTCTATAACCGAAATAACCGAACCCGAATATAACCGGACCGAACCGAACCGAAACCCGAATTGGCCACCCCTATTTTTAAGTAGTGATATTCAAACTTTTTATTTTTATGAACCGACCACCAAATTAACCATATTGTATAATTAAAAATATATTAATATATAGATATTGACACGATGGTGGGATGTTACAATTAATAAAAGTGCCATAACAACACATAAAACAGATACAAATAAAACTAATTTAATTTAAAACAATGTTATTTTGTTTAATCTATTATAAAAATAAATCCTTTTTTAATGTAGAATTCACGTGAAAGATAAGGCAACATTTCAATTATATATATATAATGAGTGTATGTATTATCATACAACATTTTAAAATATGTACACGAAAATATATATATATATATATATATATATATATATATGTGAGTGTATGTGTACAAAAAATATGTGAAATAAAATGCATCTCTTTTTATATGTATGAAAATGAAAATTATACACTTACGCCCGACACGTTGAATTTATTTTTGAAATAAAAAATAGAAAACTCATTAATTTGACTTGACGAACGGTCCAAAAAAGGGCAATAAAGGTTGCCAACTTTCTTTGATTTGGGGCTTTGTGGTGTTTGACAATGCCTTGTCAACTTGGAAAGGGGATGCGAATCCAACAAACATGACGTACTTATGTATTAATCTTCCTTTCCAATAACAAAACATTTTGAATAATTCACTCTATACATATATATATGTATGTCATGTAATGCGTGTATGTATGTCATGTAATGCATGTATGTATGTATGTATGTATGTAATGCGTGTATGCATGTATGTAATGCGTGTGTGTGTATGTATGTATGTATGTATGCATGCATGTATGTATGTATGCATGTATGTATGTATGTATGTATGCATGTATGTATGCATGTATGTATGTGAAATAACAAAGTAAGTTTTTCACCTATATCATTTATATGGACGTACTACTAAATGCGTTAACTATAGCATATAAGAATGATGAGGTATGAACAAACAATGCCCGTAATTAGTATGGTTAATCTTTATTACTTGTATTTACATTGCATTATTATTATTATTATTATTATTATTATTATTATTATTGGGCCTCGGGTTGCCATTGCTTGGAGAAGAAAGGCTTGGGCCTTCGTGCATAATGTAATGTCCTTTTCTTTTAGACGCCTTGACGTTTGCCTTTTAGCTTGAACAACTGTATCCCGTTTTTTGCTAAATTCCATGAACAACTTGAAATCGTTACTCTTCCCCACGTTGAGAAAACTTCCCACCCACGTCTCTCCCTCCCGTCTTCCTCCTGTCGTAGAGAAATCTCTCATTCTGCGCTACGAAGAGATATCTCTGCAATCTCCGAAGAGTAAACTACGGAGAAGATCTCTGGAGAAGATGAACGACGAAGATGTCTCGAGGCAGCTCCTGCAGATGGTGAGGTTCATCCGCCAAGAGGCGGAAGAGAAGGCCAACGAGATCGCCATCGCCGCCGAAGAAGTACGATCGCATTTTTTTTTTATCATTTGTTGTGCCGGTCGGTAAAATGTGGGCTGGTTTTATGACTCGGATCAATCCCGTTATTTGAATCGACGCAGGAGTTCAACATCGAGAAGCTGCAGTTGGTCGAGGCGGAGAAGAAGAAGATCAGGCAGGAGTTCGAGAAGAAGGAGAAGCAAGTCGAAATCCGTAAGAAGATGTGAGTTTCAGTTGATTAATCGATCGATTATTTCTCCTAATTTCAGTATTATTTAAGTTGGATCGTCTTTGGATCACGGCATCTCTGCCATTGAAACTGAGGAATGCAGTAGCAGTAGGCTTAGGGTTTAGTCTGGTTTAGTTCCTGGAGATTACTGAACACAGTTCAAGCACTCTACATCACAATCTTCCGGGTTTGACACTTATTATTTTACTGGGTTCCTCCCATTCTCCATTGAAATACCGAAAACATTGTGCATCTCTTATTCTGATCACAGCTGAAATTTTTATGTATTCTTCTTTTGGATTCTGATTGTGGAGATAACACTGACTTTCTTTTAGAATCGAAATGTAAAGTTGAGATTTTGTCTTTCATACCTGTCCAGTGAGTACTCAATGCAGCTGAATACTTCAAGGATCGAAGTTCTCCAAGCACAGAATGATGTAGTCAATGCCATGAAAGATAATGCATCAAAGGAGCTTCTGAACTTGAGCCGTGATGTCCATACCTACAGACGGCTTCTGAAGGATCTGATTGTTCAGGTTAGTAAAAACATGATCAGATTCATTAGAGAGCCTCATAATTGATGCTACTGAATGATTTTTAAATGTCAAAAACTTGATGTTTCTTTTTTGTGCTTGAGGATGTAATTACTTCATGGGTTTTCTCGTTCTGAACTTTACAGGACCGAATCATTTAAAACATTCTGCGGCCTTTTACAGATTTCGGTTTCAATTGTTGCAGTGTTTGGTTCGGTTGAAAGAGCCTTGTGTCTTGTTGCGTTGTCGGGAAATGGACTTGAGCTTAGTTGAGTTCGTGCTTGATAACGCAAAGGATGAATATACTGCAAAATTCAAGATCCATGCTCCAGAGATCATTGTGGATCACCAAGTTTTCCTTCCACCTCCTCCTAAACACCACCATTCTCACGGTCTCCACTGGTAAATCTCTCTCTCTTTGTCTCCATGTGCAAGAAACAACGAACCAAAAACCAGAGAACTGAAAAAGGGGAGGAAAAAGAGACGCGTTTGGATGCAAAAATAGATATTTGCTCAAAACATCGTTGCTATAACTTGATGTATAAATGATAAATCTATGGTTTTATGTTTTGTAGTTCTGGGGGCGTTGTGATGGCATCTCGCGACGGGAAAATTGTGTGTGAGAACACACTTGATGCGCGTTTGGATGTCGCCTTCCGTAATAAGCTCCCAGATGTAAGTAACTTCTCTTATTGTTCCATCATTTGCAAAGCCATGCTTCTGTTTCTGTTTTCTGTAATAGCCACTTTCGTCGGGGGGAAATCGAAGAGAGCAGCATGCTAATTGCCTTTTCTGATACACAAAAGAGATCTAAAACTGTTTACGAAACTCTCAAAAAAAGAAACTTTCTCATCCTCGTTTCTGAAATTTGGACATTTGCATCTTTTGAATGCAGATCCGTAAGTCATTGTTCGGCCATGTTGCCGCTTCTTTATGATCATCAACCATGCACATGGGAGTGAGTCATCTGCATAACTCCGGAACTCATTCGATTCGTTTCTTGAGATGTGGTTATGGGTATATAAATAAATGAATGGATAAACCCAATGAAGAACTTGTCGAGAATGTCTCGTTTTCTTCTCCAATTTTTGTTCAGTGTACTTATCTGAATCTTGTGTTTGATGGGTATCTTTTTGAATGTAACGTTTCTCCTGCAAATTTTCTCGTTCTTTTTTCTTGCTTTCCGCAAAAGCGTAAGAACGCCGTTTCCAAATGTTTAGAACTATGTGAATGTGGTGAAAGTACCGGTGCTCTGTACCCCAAAATCTCACCGATCATAGTCGCCATAAATAAATGCGATGAACCAGGGGGAGAATCCAGAGACAGTCGAGTTTCAGCTTGCATCGGAGAGGACTTACAGTTGGACGAGGTGGGCGGAAACATTGATCGTGGAGAAGGCTACCTTCTACTAGAAGACGTCGGGAAATGGAACGTGGAGAAGGCTGCCGAGTGACTGAGGGCCGAGTCAGCTGAGCTGCCGCCATGAGGCTACTGAGGAGCCGATCATTTAGGGGACCGTCCTCCTTCTTGAAAACAGGACGTGGTTCATGTCAGGAAGGGCAACGAGTGCGGGCTTTGTGATCGGTGATTGGAACGACTTCATGGTCGGAGACGTGATCCAGTGCTTGGAGCAGAGCTGTAAGGACTGACTGCTGAAGAACCCTAGAACTGAGTATACGGTTTTTTTTTTAAGTGCTTCAAAAACTGATATATAATCTCAAAAAAGTGAAGAGCTTTGTTCATACAGACATCGTATATAGAACTTAAGCGGTTTCAATGGCAGATTCAGGCAGAGTTCTTGTGACAGCTGCAGAAGGCATTTTACTTCCACCGACCCATCTGCTTTGAAAGACTTCGCCATCATCTGCTTCCCTCTCCATCACTTGAATCTTCTTCGATCTCAAAACCCTAATCCCCATTACCACCACATACCCTATAAACCCTAGCATTCCTAACCCTAACACGAGCCCGATTGCCCACAACCACCTTAACCCACGATTCTTCTTCTCCTTCTCATTCCCTTCCAATGGCTCAACCACCGAATAATCGCCATGGCGGGAGCCGTAACACACACCTGGCAACCGCATTCGGCTCATGTAAACCGGTTCGCCGCTCTGTGATTTGTAGCTCACGCATCTGACTCTAGCCAGCATTTTCTCATCTGGGTCCTCGGCCAACTCCTCAAACTTAACTTCTATCGGCTTCTCTGTCCTGAGACTGATCTCTCTGACATTGTCTGAATCCGACACATCCAAAACCCTGAATCCCAAAACCGAAGTCACTAACCGGTAACCGGAAACCGTATACCAATGGTTAGACCAGTTTCCCAGATCTCGATACACTACAGCTACTCTTCTCGCTGGAGGAACCGAAACTGACCTCGCCGGTATTACAAAGTCGCTGAACTTAGCTCCGGAGTTCCAAAGGGTTTTCCCGGTGAGGCGGACGACGGAGACCTCGATGCCGGAGAGATTTCCCGGTAAGTTTGCCCGGTACAGAGCACCGGTATGGTTATGGTGCCGGCCGGTTAAGGCCCTGAGGGCGAAACTCTCGAGGGATTGGTCCAAGGAATGGTGTGACGTAACATTGAGGATTGTCGTAGAGTTGAAGTGGACAGAAGACGATGAAGATGATGAAGACAAAGTGGTGATCAGAAGAAACAGAACACATTCACAAGGGATAGACATTGAGTTCATGTTTTGATGTTTTTTTTTTTGGTCTTTAGAAGAAGAAAAAAATCCTCTTCGAATAGAGTTTTGCTTAATAAAGAAGTGAGAGCTTTGATGAGATGTAGGCCCGGAAAGAATCATATGATATTATAACCTCCACCAAGTCTTAAGAAATTTGTTCTTCAAATAATGACATTAAAAATATAGAGAAATTACCCCACAAACATAAATCTTTTTCAATGGAAATATAAACATAAATAAATGGTATTTTAAACCTTGTTAAACCTCATCTTGTTTAATCCTTTTAAATTGAATACTCAAATATGTATGTATATATATATATATATTATAGATCAATCCTTTCACGGAAGATGGTTAGAAATTTTATTTTGATACATGGTTTCCTAACATATATACGAGTTTATAAGCAAAATCTTTTTATGCTATTATATATACACACACACAATAGTAGATTGATTATCATTTGTTACCTACAATTTTCAATATTAATATGAATGTGATTTGGGATAATGATCAGGATGTAAACGCATGCTTAGAAAAAGTGCCTTGAAGAGTGGCGAAAATCAATGGATCATGGCGTTGATACCTCTCTCTCTCTCTCTCTCTCTCTCTCTCTCTCTCTCTCTCTCTCTCTCTCTCTCTCTTCACTGCCAAAACTCATCATTTCTACACTCCCCAAAAATCTTGACAGTACAAAAAAAAGTTTAAATATTTCAATTATATTCACATTTAAATAAACAAAAATGTCTTTGTATAATACTTTAAAAAGACAAATTAGAAGTGACTAATCCACATTTTGTATAAAAATTTCTTATATTCATATAATACTGAATTTGAAAAAAAAAAAGACATGTAATGTTCAAAACATTTGCTTTTAATTATACCGGATTTGAATCAAATTTCATATATTTGTTCAGTTTTAGAATTTGGGCTCTTAGAAAATTGTCATTCCGCCACGAGGCCGAACATAAAAGAAGAGATGAGCCCATATTTTTTAAACTTTAATGGGCTTTAAATATGGCCTTCATCAGGCCCAATTCATATATATATATATCGTGTACGGTTCAAGGATTTAGTATCGCTAATCTAATGTTCATAATTTTATATATTAAACATCTATAATAAGTTTGTAATTAATATTTTTTTGGTGGGATAATTAATATTTTTTATCCATAGATTAAAAAAGTTGACTTAAAAATGAAAATACATGAATCTTGACAAATTTTAATGTACCCATATTTATAAACTTAAAGAATTTTAGGTTTATACACACACATATATAATGGATATATATACACACAACACATCTATTTGAAAAAAAAAGACTACAAACAATCAGTCGTTTTTTTCTTCCTTTTATAATAATTAATTTACTTAAAATATATTTAAATACGTTATTAGCTTATATTTATTAGCATATGCTCGTTTTTACTTTATTTCAAGCACAATTTACTTATAATTTATTGTTATCAGAATATTGTAATTCATTTTATAATGAACGGAATATTTATATAAAAGCCAGAGAAATAATAATATGATGCAAAGCAGAAACAGATTCATTTATAATGTAATAAAAGGCATTAATATATGCCCAGACAATGTGAATCTATGCTTTTTTTACGTCCAAAGGTCTAATTTGAAAGATCAGTTACAATCATCATTACTGATTTCATTTCAAATGATTAATATACGAAGGTTTTAAAATTATGAATGTCCTTTTGTTTGTTATATAATAAGAAAGTCCCCTATTCGAGGATTCATTAAATTTGTTTATATTTGGAAAAAGAAAAAAGAAATTCTCATTCTTTTATTCCAAACTTCAACATAGAATATATACACACACACACATATATATATATATATCAATGTTTAAATTGTAAATTAGATTTTATTGATATATATACATACTCTATGATTTTTATGGCTCTCGTTCGTACTTATACTTTGCAAAAGAATAAGCAAATCATTTAATGTTTTTAAAAAATTTGTTAATATATTGTGATAATGGTTGTGTGTGTGTGTATATATATACTACAATCATATTCAAAGAAAACAGAGTAGAGATAGTAATATATACATATATTCGTATACATGGTATATATATATAATAGTGATTGAAGAGTCATGTCAATTGATGTGAAAAAATAGGGAATCATTTTGGAATAAAAAAAAAGAACAGAACAGGTAAAAGAAGCCATGACTTGTGCGTTTGCGTTTTCACTGCAAGAAAAAAGCGTTCACGTCCCATCCCCTCCTTTCTCTTTTCTTTTTTCTTTTAAAACATTTGCTGCAATTTCCCAATTTTATTATTTGAATTTCAATTTCCTCATCATCACTTCTAAAATAAGATCTATTACAAAAAATAATCCAGCAGATCTTATCGGGGCTAAGTCGTCTTTTACAGATTCTTTTAATTCAATTTTCGACTATATATAGATCAAAGCGTTATATCAATGTTTTGTGGTATAGAAATTATAATATTTTTAAAATAAATCAATGTATTTTTTACGGTTTAAATAGTCTATTATCTGAATCAATATTGAGAAAGCATTTATGCAATATTCCGTAATTATTAAGCTTTTAATTTCAATAAATTCTTAATAAGTTTGTAGTCATTTATTTTTTTTTTGTGTGTTTTAATTTTGAAGCAATACATTTTTCGTTGAAAAAGTTTTTTTTTTTTGGTGATGATCACAAGACTACAAGAGGACTCAAGTAAGTAACAGGGCCCTCTATAGAGGCCATGGAATCTTGACAGTTCTGTCTCCCAGCTTTGTGTTCTCTTCTTCATCCTCTCATTTCTTTTATATATATATGTATATATATATATGTATATATATATATAATACATATAATCCGAACATAACACTAATTATTTCTGCCCATGTTGGGAGCAATTTTCTTTTTTGTGCATAGCCAATTATCATAAGAATGTTACATGTTTTGATTTGGTTGTACAAAGCCAATATAATAAATTAGAAGATTTAAATACTTTTATATAACTTGATTGGTTTTTAATTAAATTTAAAATAAATATAAGAATAACTGAAAACAAAATAAAACTAAGAGCTTTTCAAAATAATATGTTCTTATCAAAAATTCAATCTGAATAAATTACAATTTGATATAGAATAAAACAAATATATTTTTTAATTGAAATTTGGAATACAAAAAAAATAATGGCAATCGTGAAAAAAAAATATTTTAAGATAAATACTTTTTAATAACTATAAATAATCCAAATAATATATATATATATATTGCGTACGTGTACCCATTATGTTGGCCATCGGCATCAATGGCAAGAAAGACCTGCAGATAATATGATTCAAGTTTCACGGATCAGATTTTTAAATTATTCGTTTGGAATTTGTGATGCGAAATATGCATTATTTTGTATTTTTTTTCGTCTAACCTGTCTATTTTATATGATAAGTTAAATGTTTTTATAAAATAAAAGTAAAAATATTAAGAAATAAGTAAGGAATAAAGAAATATTGGAAAAAATAAGAAAAATGTGTTGAGACAGCTGTAGAAGGACAGTGTCAAATCATGGGACAACCCAATTTGTCCAATAAAAGGAATTCGAATCCTTTTGTCTCTTCCATTTACCAGTGGTTTTTATTATAATTAATTTCGATCTCTTGTTAAATATTTTTTGGTATGGATTTTTTTTTCTTTCATAGTCATTTGCTTCCATATACTTGATTAATTATATTTTATAAAATATAAAATATATTCTAGGATAAATGAAATACTTCTCCATTCCCAACTAGTATAGATGAATGATGTTTCTCCAAGCCAATAAAAAAAATATATATATATCACTGAATGAATTTCTGCGGATTGTATCCATGATTAATATAATATGGACCGCCATGCCGCGTTGGGCCTGTACTTGAAATTTGCTGTAATGAACTTATAGTATTTTGAATCAAAAAATTTCAAACACTTCGTAAAAATAAAATTTAAAAATAGAAATGATGATGATTGGAGCATGAGTAAACATTAACTTTCTAAGCGAGTTGAAAAGAAAATTAAGAGATGATACGTTGATTAACAACGGACCATGGGGTTATGTTCAATGAAAAACTATAAGAAAAAATATAAAATAATATGAATAATATATAATTATACATGAAAAAGGGGGGGTTGTACCAACAAAGAAATGATGGAGGAGGAGAAGAGTAGAATAAAGATTAGATGGGCGGATGGACAGCTGAGGAAAAAGTTTTGATTAGACTAAATATTTTTTTTTTGTGTAGCTTATAACAAAATAAAAGCTACCAATTTTATGCAAGTAGGCCTTCTTTTATTATTTTTATTTTCACATATTTGACAAGACGATAATTTTCAGTATGCAAGCATCTGATGTGATCTCCCCAGAGAGCTTATTATAATATAATATAATTTTCCGAATATATATATATATACACACATAGATATAGATTGCTTGGTGGCTTACATATGTTGCGATGAAAAATAAATTATTTTTTGCGGGGAAAATATGTTTAATTCATGTCCATTATCTACCGAGTCTATGTTACCGGTCACTTCGTGTTTTTTCTGTCCCCTGAGTGCTCGATATATTTTCCAAAACCTAAAGAAAAAAGAATACCTAAAACCTAAAAACAAATTGAGAATATTAAAACTTTAATATAGATAGGGACTATATCGGGGTGCAAAAAAAATGATAGGGGGAATATCGTTCGTGACTATATAAATATATGTCAAGTAATGTTTATTTTGAGTCGATTATATAAAATGAATTCATATCTAATAAGATATAATTAAGTTTGAGTTAGAATGTGATTTAGAAACGAATTAAATATATATTTAAAATAATTGAAATAATTAACAGAACAAAATAATTAAAAACTTCATCTCTTCTCTCGAGAGGAAAACGTATTTCCGCTCACGTGTTTTCCACTTAACCTAAAATGATTTTTTTTCCGGTAAAGAACCTAAAATGGGTGTGAAGGATAAAAATATTTAATATTGAAAAGAAAATTAATTTCTGTTATTGTTAATTTGTTACATCAACTGCGTATTCAGTAAGACTTTAAGAATCGTTACAAATTAATAAATCGTTGTAAATACAAATTAATAATGTTAACTAGAAGTTAGCAAATTTAGATTGCTTAGTTTTGAATGGAGGAGAGCCGATTGAAATCTGACTGAGTTCAATTTGTTTTTGGTTTAATTTACTTTTAGATTCATGTTTATGAAATCCTACCCGGGCTGAATACGCTGAATTACATAAACTTCAAAGATGCATTGAGAAATATTTGTACATATAATATCAAATGGATATACACAACGCTAAAATTGCAGAGAATTCGTTAGCGACGATGGTCCCCGGTCTAGAAAACGTCATCTATTTTTTTTTTTCGATAGCTCGAGTATTTTGGGCCGAAGCCCAGACTAATCTCGGGATCGGAGGTAAGCGGGTAAATTCCTCCTCTCACGCTGGGACTCGAAAAAGGGCGAGACAAATCCATTTCACTAACTGAGCTAACTGGGTAACGTTACCTGTTTTTTGATGAATAAGATTATTTAACGAGATTAACATTAGCTAATAAAAGATTTCTTTGTTGCTAAACTATAAGGAACAAATTGTTATGCTTTGCGAAACCCTAAACCTAGTCTACACATTTTTATCCCATTTTTTCATAGGCTTCATAGTGATTCGGTTTTTTTCTTCTTCTAAAAGTCTAAACCCACATTTTCGACCGCTAAAATAAATAGTATGGTTTAATGATTGATATATAACTAATTTGGAGTATTTTTATTATTTTCTGAAATAATTTGTTGTGGTAGTAATGTGAAAAATCAGTGAGTAGTATCAACAATTACGTAAAAAAACTCATAAAAAACACAATTACGTAAAAAGATATTAGCCAGTTAATGCCAATACAATTAGCGTACGTAGAACTTTGAAACAATTTACTAATTGATAACTTTGAAAATTTTTATTAATAGATGTATTTTATATTTGATAAAATATTATATATTTATAGATGAGATTTCAATAAATTCATATATTTATTTGAAATTGTTTTTATTATAGTTTTATTAGTCTGTGGAGAAATATTCTATATCACTTTAATAAATTTAAAATTACTAATTGAATATATTATTTTCATATTTTTGGAAGCTATGATATGAATAATTTTAAGGATAAAAATTAAATTATCTCCTGTTCTAGCATTAAAAATGCAAATTACTTTTTTTACTGCTCAGTAATTCATTTGCAGAAAAATCAACTTCCTAATTCATTGAAATTTGAACGTGTACAATACAATGACTAAATTATATCTATAGTGCTGTAGCTTATAGAAACCTTAAGAATTGTATTCAAGTTAATGAACCATACTTAAGCAAAAAATTAAAACATAAGACCGTTGCTTTTTACGTATATACATTTGTACACACACATATACATATATATATATATATGTGCTTGTTCATTGTTATATTGTGTAAATCGAATATAGGTATTGTAGCTTAAAATAAAATAAAAATTTGAAATGGAAGGTAAAAAAAAAAAAGGACATGAGAATTGAGAGCCTTTCCTTTGTGTTGCAAAAGGGAAAACTTAAAATTCGTAAACCCTTTATTTAAAATACACGTAGCTCTGTTTCGCTATTGATTTTTTTTTTGACAAAAACGATATTGATTATTTGAGAAAAAATATATTTATATATATATTAAATTACCCTGTCAGTTCTTTTTTCCTTTTGTTAATTACTATATATTTGCAAGAATCGGTCATTTTGTATTGAGTGGTATTAAAAAAAATAAACAATTGTTAACGATTAGTGTGTGTATATATATATATTGTCCTAATAAATGGCATTTTTTTATAAACCATCTTACTATATAAAAGTTTCTATATTTCAGATTTTATTATTTGATAATTAGAAAATCTAATGGCTCATAATAAATGGCCTGAATATATTTATTCAATAAGTTTCAATCAAGCTGTGAGAATATTTTTAGAAAAAATAATGCAAAGTGATATGATAGATATTTATACCTTAAATGAGAAATTTATTCATATACATATATATAAAGTAGGATATTAGGCATTAAAAACATTTAAAGGTTATATAAAGAAATTACCCAATATAGACATTAAATTAATTGCAAGATCCTTTCATTATTATTTTATGTCCACGTTCATCTTCCCAATGAAGTTAATAAAAAAAAGGGCATATAATCAAACCTCATCAAAGAATTACAAATGAACTAAAAATGGTTCAAGTTTCGAGCTGTATATATACCCATCATCACTCTAACCCTTGTATCCAATGTATATTCCCTTCCATCTTCCTCATCACTTCTCTCTCTCTCTTCTCTTCTTCAGTTATCACTCGCTTTCTCGCTCTAAATCTCTCCACATACAGATATCATCAATAAAAACTTTTATTGTTACTATACGTGTTGGGATATGATCTAGGGTTTCGTTTTTATTCAAAAGTTATTAGTGCTGCATATTCTTCAATATCTTGTTTTTGCAATAGTTAGGGTTCTAGATCCATTCACACGGTATCCTTTTTTTTACATCAAATACATATTTATGCATACACACGCAGATGCAGTTGGTATTTGATTATTATTATTATTAATAATTATTATTTGGGAGAAACAAATATAGAGAGCTTCCTTGAGTCCATTCATAGGGTTTTGGTATGATCCAATTAGCTTCCGACTCATTCATCCAAATAACGAGTCGACAAAAGGAGAGTTAAACGAAGACCCGTTAGATGAATGAATGATGCGGAGACAAATTGGATCTTAGATCTTCTCTGATTGGACTGAAGGGAGCTCCCTGTTTTTTCATTCCTTTATACTTTATTAACCCTAGTTTTCCCTTTTCCCGTTGATTATTCTCTACTATCCATATATTCGTGCTTATATATTGCATATGTGTATATATATATATGCCCGTATAAATCTGTGCATACTCGAGCATGTTATGCGTGTTTTTTGGGTATGTATACGTTCGCTAACTAGCATCTTGTTTCTGGGTTTGCTTTTTTCTTCCAGAACGTTGATGGAGAACATTGAATCTTTTGGTCCGCCGGCCACTCGGTAATTTCAGTTTCTTCATGCATGTAGATGTACTGTATACATACGTATGAGTATATACACATCTCGAGATCACTAATTTTTCAATATCCTGCTCGCATTTTCTCGAGATCGCTTTCTCTGCCCGAATTTCTTTTCACACGAGCTTGAACTAATATGTTAATCCTCGTAATTTATATCAGATATCTGACAGTAAAACATATATGTCGGTCCATGAAAGGCCCTTAACCATACACTTGTGAGTAATCTAATTCCGTGGGTTTGCCCTAATCTTTGTTTAATCATGGATTACACCCTTGTAATTTTCTTTGAACCAAACAACGTCATTTTCTTGGCCTTTTTCTCTTTTTTTTTTTCCCTTAGGTTTTACAGTTTACAAGATGGGAATTGCTAGGGTTTTGCGTACAAGGAAAAAGGAAAAGAAAATACGGTCAAAAAAAGGGGGAGGAGAGGACAAAATCATGAGCTTTTTGCCTTCTTGGGGCGTGAGGTGGTGTTGCTGCCGCAACAAGTTCCCAGAATTTTCAATTTAAATAAAACTCATCATTGTTTTCTTATCTTCTTAACAAGAACGCTAAGGGTGATAAAAATCTTCTCTTATTCTTTGACCTTTTTTACCATTTCTCTCAGCATGTACGTCGCGATCTACGGAGGCATCGACGTCGATCGTTACACCATCAGATTTTGCGTCTCATAGTCATTAGATCTTACCGGTGATCATTCTCGCCGGGGATGAGTTTCTAGGTTGGAACATGTCCGTTGAGCCGTTAGGGAATTTCAGTGTGAGAGGCCCAACGTTGCTTCATCTCTGATTCGTCTTTTCTTCCACAATTGCTTAATTGAGATCTAATATTTCATGATTCTTTTTTCTGGCTTTCTCTGTTTTTCTTTTTCTGGCTTCCACAATTGCGCTTCCCGATTATGCCCTCCTCCCTCCGATGCAACTGCTCTTTTTTTTTTTTTTGAACGAATAGTTGTTTCTCTCTTGCCCTTTAAACGACTGTGTTTTGTCTCGCTGTCGGAAGAATTTTTCCAAGATACTGTCGCGTACAAATTTACTGGTTTGTAATATAATTTCCAAAAGTATGCCGGTTATATTTTTTTTTTCTTATGATATAAAAATTGACCTATTTGGCCCATGACCAATCTATATGCTCCCATATTTACAGTATGGAACAACAATTTTCTTTATATCAATAGCTCTCAAACTTGAGATTCTAGTTATAGGCAAAATCTAATGTTATTATAATATTCAAATTCCGATTGAGCTAATATAAAAATTTACATGTTATGTTCAAAGAAGATTCTCCCGGTGTCCGTATGTGGCTTTGAAATGGGCTTTGACTTTCATGGTAAAAAATTTAGACGTGTCGCTCTCTTAATGTTCAGTCTGTATTTTTTTACCTAAACTTTTTTTTTATATACTTTTAATCTTACGCAAAAGACTACTTTAATATATAGATAGAAATAAAATCGGGATTACAATTTACATGAATGTACCGGTACGTCTATATGAGGCTTTGAAATGGGCTTTGACTTTCATGGTAAAAAATTTAGACGTGTCGCTCTCTTAATGTTGAGTCTGTATTTTTTTACCTAAACTTTTTTTTATATATACTTTTAATCTTACGCAAAAGACTATTTTAATATATAGATAGAAATAAAATCAGGGATTACAATTTACATGAATGTACCGGTACGTCTATATGGACTGGATAATTTTTAACATTTTCCCCAAAACTTTCTTAACAACACAAAATGCTGACGCCGGCGAGGACGCAAAGCTACGTCGTGTCGTACGTCGAACCGGCGAGGAAGCTCCGGTCGAGAGTTGATAAGGTTTGCCGGAAAATTCCGACGTGGAACGACAAGTTCTGTTTCATGGTGGATCCCGATCGACGAACTCCGGCGAAACATGAACAAGGCTATCGTCTTCAAGGTTTCAAGGCTATTGTGTTAGACTCTTACTAAAGGACAAACTTGTCGGAATCGCTAGGGTTCTGCTCGACGGCCTCGTCCAGTCCACTGCAGTCTGCAGCAACCGGTATACATAAAAACGTATACGAAATGAATATATAAAATCCACGAAGAAAATCATAATATATTTTAAGATTTCTTCTCAACCGATTTTATGTCATTTTTTATCTGATTTTTTCCTGAAGTTATTTGATTTCTCCATCTCTCCTTCAATTTCTACATCAAAATATCGAGGAAAAATCGTATGGATATTTAAAAAATGTGAATGTGAATGGGACACGGTATCAAAAATTTACATTAACAAAAAAAAAAAAAAGGTGTCAAAGTTTCAGAAGAAATTGGCGGCGAATTGTTTAATTTCGGTGAGAAATTGGATGATGACAATTGTGCAAGAAAAAAAAAAATCAGACTGATGAATTACAATAATTGAGGAAGAAATGGACAATTATATATATATAACATGTAAGATAACGTTGTTTTATTTCTCAAGCTGAATTCAAGGGAAAACATTAGTATTGACATTTGAAAATCCCGGGAAAGCTTATCATCACGAATTAATTTAGGATAAAACCAGAAAAGTTGACGCAAAAATTAATTATATTTTACGCGTATATCAGTCTGTATAATATATATGAACATGTTACAATATGAATATTCAATCTCAATTTCATCAAGGTGGGCCAATGATTGAGGAATATGCAATAGAAATCAATCAATGTCCGCATAAGAGAGAACAACAGCACGAAATGGTAAATGACTGATCCAATATAAAAAAAAGTTCGGCAATAACATTTAACAGATGAATTTTATATTAAAAAAAAACATTTAACAGTTGAAGTTTCTTTTACACGAGACATAAATTATAATTAGGCCATCGTCTTTTGAGTAAGAATATTGTAACGCATGGGTTGTCTGTTTAAGCAACTCTACTCTTGGAAATATTATATTAATATGATTAGTGTTTGGATGAGCTAAATGACATATTAGCCATTGTTTTATAGATGTATAATATATAGTTGAAAAAGATCATAAATGACAGTTTATTCATGAGGATTTCTTTGACGAGATGTATAATATAATATTATATAAAAATAATATGCATGAATGACCGAATTTAGCGTAGAAACTCATAATACTTATTTGATTACACACCACTTGTTCTATCATGCTGACCATCTTCTTATCTTTTGCAGAATTTAATGTATGAATGTTGATTTAATGTAAGGTTGCATAATTCAATATATATGTGAAGGTTCATGGTTGAATATCTAACTTTGATCGGAGAAGGCACGCAAGCGTTATGTATGCTCGCTATCGTTTAACAAACAAAACGATTGATACATTTTATATTAAAAATATTTTTTATTCATTTGTTCAAGTTTTGTTTTTTCTTATAACCATATGGTTTTCCAAATCTTCAACCCGGCTACATCCACCCTATATTCGGGACTAGTCTTTGTATATGAATCATTTTAATCCAGAAATTACATCATTTACCACCAGTGGTATCAAACTTTCGAGGATGATTTTGTCACCTCAACCATTGGACCACCACCTGTTGAGTGTTCATTTACTCAAGTTGTTTATTAAAATTCTCAATTTTTTCGCACTTCACCAATGATGTATTTTCAAAGATACTTTATTATTTTATGTATTTATTTTACTAAATAATTATTTATTTTAATTTTTTTAATCAATTTTAAATTGTTTTTCTTATTTTTTTAATCTTCTGGTTTTGTTTTGTACTCCATTTTTATGTATATTTTTATTATTATTATTATATTTTAGATCCATTTTCTGTATTTCGATTCACGCTATATTTTGAATTTCAATTTTTTCGTAATGATTTTATTTTGAAAATTTTATATTTTCACTTTTTTATTCCCTTGTTAAACTTTTTGTACACAGTATTTTTAGTTTAAATTTGTTTATGTTTGAAAACTTAATTCTGTACTCGTAGATGAATCATAAATTAAATTATTTTGGGAATCTAATGAACAGTTAATGTTTCTACAATATATTTTGATTTTATATTATTATTAATATTATTAAATCTGTTTTCTTGTTATAAATAATGAATGAAAGAATATCCGATCTAGATCTTAACAAAGTCAGATTCCAACAATGTTAGCACACCGAGCTTTGGTTGACTTTATGGCATAATAACATCTGGTGAAGGGGACTTACTGGTATTATATCATATATATATATATATATATATATATCGTATTGTGATTATTGCTGATTCTCGGCCATTATATACAAGAGAGTACTGTGGCTGACACGTATCCCACGTGTCGTGAATATTCAGTGCTAACTTTAATGATGTAATCTTATTTTCTTAATCTCGCAAGAAAAACAGTTTCAGTTATCCGATTCTGAAGTATACATGGGATATATCCACACACACACACACACACACATATATATATATATATATATAGTTTATTCTAAGACCATTATGTCTTTTTTTTTTGTTTTAATTTAGTTGACAGATTATAAAATTTCTTTGAGCAAATCTAGTTGATTTAAATAAACTGTGCGCGTAATTGATTATCATAACAGAATTACAGAATAAAGAAAAGTATGTAAATTTTATAGATAAATTTATCAATTAGCACATAAAATTATAATATTTCAGAAAACATACTGAATAAATTTTTTTCCTAAAATTTTACATCACCTCTAACGATATTAATACCATTCTTCTATTAAAAACTTTTACATGATTCACCGATTTTTACACACAACTTTTTATCGCATCAATATAAAAAAAATACATATATATATACACACATGTATACACATACATGTATACACATATATACATATACGTACATACGTACACATTTATACACATATAGGTGTACCATACACACATCATATATATAAGTGTATGCACATATATAGGGGTGGCCAATTCGGATTTCGGTTCGGTTATTTCGGGTTCGGTTATTTCGATTATAAAGAAATCATAACCGAACGGTTATATGATTTAAATCGGTTCGGTTCGGTTCGGATTCGGTTCAGTTCGGTTTTAGCACAAAAAAATTATAACCGAACGGTTAAATTTTGATGGTTTCGGTTCGGTTATGTTATATTCGGTTATAAATAAACACTAATATATACAAAATAAATTAGAAAAAAATCTTTAAAAACATCGAATTATATCATAATATTAATATTAATCCTTTAAAATTATCAATCTAAACTAAAATATACAATATTAATCTTCCAAAATGCTCAATTCAAATTTTAAATCACAAAATTTTCAAAATTCTTCAAAAATTTCAACCTTCACCATTTTTTATCTCCATTTATTCTAAGAAATATAATAAATTTAGATATAATATATATAAAAATAAGATTTTAATCAAATAAAAATTAACTTATATTTATCTATAAATTAAAATTTGAGAAATCAACGAATATGAAAATTGAAAGTGAAATTGTAAAAATATTATATAAATATTTAGAATATAACACTAAAAACTAAATAAATACTAATAACCGTTCGGTTAACCGCGGTTATTCGGTTATTAACCGAACCGAACCGAACCCGAACGGTTATTGAACTTGCTCAACCGAACGATTATTAAGCAAATAACCGAACCGAACCGAACCGCTGTTATTCGGTTCGGATCGGTTCGGTTATTCGGTTAATAACCGAATTGGCCACCCCTACACACATATATATATATATATATATGATGTGTATATATGTCTATGTCTATGTGTATAGTGTGTAATATGTATATTTATATATATGTATATGTATGTGTATATTTGTATATATATATATATATATATAAATATGTATATGTGACAATGTGCGTACATAACATACGACTTACACTGGTATACATATCAATAGATTCCAAGTAAATGTTTTCAACCTTATTTTGCTCGAGGTTCGTTCATGTATCTCTTGGATTTTCATTAAGAAATGTTATCATCGCAATTTAAAAAGATAATATTAATTTTGCCACCCTAAATTTTTTTATTCATATAAATGAAAAATAAAATTGTACTTGATACCCGCGCGAGATTACTTGTATAAATGGGCACACCCGCAGATTTCAGATTCATCGATCCACTTCTCCACCTATCACAAATTTCAAATTTCCGTCTTGCAGATTTCAGATTCATCGGTCCAGATCGGTGAATTTCTTCTCCGGATTCTTCATCGCCAGATTCAGGTATTTTCACGCGTTTGTCTCCCTCTCTCTCGCTCTCTCTCAAAATCGGTTCAGTGTCGCGTAGTGATCTGTTTGTTTCCCTGGAAAACGCCGTCGGAAAAGTAGAATGAAACTCGAATCCTGCGATTTGTTTGCCATGTTTCTGTTGATTTTGGAGTTTCCCTCAGTTTTGCTGTTTGGTTCCCGAGAAAATGGGGAGAAATTAGGGGGAAGATGAAATCATAATGCGATCAGCCCCTTACTTCGTTACGGCTTAGGTCTGCCCTGATTTATCACTTCTCGTCGTCTCTTCACGGATTCGTAGTTTTCTCTGTTTGTTTCCCGAGAAAACTGGAGAAAGCTGAACCAAACCGGTTGAAAAATTTCATTACATCTTATACTGATCATTGATTTTGGACAAAAAACGCATTATAACACTTTCGCCTCATAATCGTAATAGCATAATGGTAATCTCAATTGTGTTGGATATGGAAATAAGTAACTGATCCGGGAAAATTCACCTCTCAGGCAGAAGAAGGCATGGCAACAAACGGGACGACATGCCCAAAACCGATGAAGGCGGCTTCTAACGGAGTTTTTCAAGGCGAAAATCCTCTCGATTATGCGTTGCCTCTCCTGATACTACAAATATGTATTGTGGTCGTGCTCACTCGCACTCTCGCCTTCTTCCTCCGTCCTCTCAGGCAACCTCGCGTCATCGCTGAGATTGTGGTAAGTTTTCTTGTTTGTTTACAGAAAATTAATGGGTTTCAGGAAAGAGGCATTAGTGTAATGGTTAATTTCTAACCCACGTACCATAGAAACTAACTAAGGATCAAACACTAGAGAGATTTCAAATCAGCCGTCACTGGATTTTCCACACCAAACAGATTAGTTTAGTGTCCGATCATTTTAACTTGAAATTGAAAACAAATGATATGAAAGGAGGAGCAATAATCAATTATCAATTAGTTACAAACTATTGATGAATCTCGATAACGTGATCCACCTTTAAAGAAATCCTGCTTAGGTTATTTGAATTAGTCTTTACACATTATATTATATGGTCGTTAAATAAATAAAAAAATAGGTAAAACAGGGTGCGGATCATGTAAAAAGTATCTATGTTTTTCATTTATAAATTGGTTCTTTCAATTATTTAAATGACTTTTTGGAGAATAAAAGAATTAAATATTCCGTAATTTTATGAGAATGAATTTTCTAGCCGCCAGGCGGAATCTCCATTGGAATATTCACTTTTCTTCCATGTAAAGCGGTGACCTGTCAAGTTTCTAATATATCTATTCTATATATTACTAAATATGTATGCAATGTATTCTTTAGCTCTTAGTGGCCGGAAACCTTCCGATGTCCGAGGAAGTGACGTCGGGCAAATACCTTAATTAACTCACTATCACTTGATTAAAATATGAACCTAGCTTTATCCGAAGACTACCTGTACTGCTTACGTTTTTGTTTGAATGACTTGGCCGATAATTCTCTAATATGAACACGTGTGTTAGTGATACGTCATTACTTTTTATCTTAAATTACTAGATAAGAGATGTTACTTGTTGTCATATTGGTGTGTATATATATATATATGGTACATATATATATGGTGTATATATATATATATCTTGGTGAATACATTTTTTTTATATGATCCGAAATTTTATCTAACCTTCGATCTAATTATATTTTCCGGAGATTCGAAAAAAGTAAATTACCGTCTTACGACAGCCGTACCTATGTCTAGAATCGAATTGTAGGTGATATTATAGTTTGCATGCTCATTTAACACTCGACCACCATACTTGTTCTTATTTGGTGTTAAAATACAGGAAAAAGTTTTTAAATTGAAAGAGAAAGGAATTAAATCCATGATTTTGCTTACTTGTTTAAGGGTTGAACTACTTTTAATCGGTGAATTTGGCAGGGAGGTATACTGCTTGGTCCATCAGCACTCGGGAAAAGCTCCAAGTTTCTCAACACAGTCTTCCCAGCGAAAAGCATCACAGTCTTAGACACAATTGCCAACTTAGGTCTCCTCTTCTTCCTATTCCTCGTCGGCCTTGAACTCGATCCAAAATCTCTTCGCCGAACTGGAAAAAACGCCCTCTCCATCGCAGTAGCCGGAATCACCCTCCCTTTTGTCCTCGGCATTGGCACCTCATTCGCTCTCCGTCACACCATCTCCGATGGCGTCAGCAACGCTCCTTTCCTTGTCTTCATGGGCGTTGCTCTCTCCATCACCGCCTTCCCCGTCTTGGCTCGTATCCTCGCTGAGATCAAGCTCTTGACCACTGATATCGGCAAAATCGCTTTGTCCGCCGCTGCTGTCAACGACGTCGCGGCTTGGGTTCTCCTCGCGTTGGCCATCGCGCTTTCTGGTGAAGGAGACTCTCCACTCACTTCTCTATGGGTTTTCCTCTCTGGTTTCGGTTTTGTCCTCTTCTGCATTTTTGTCGTCCGTCCGGTCATGAAGTGGATGGTTAAACGCTGTCCTGAAGGCGAACCCGTTAAAGAACAGTACGTGTGTTGCACGTTAGCTGCGGTTCTGGCAGCGAGTTTCATCACAGACGCCATTGGAATCCATGCGCTGTTTGGAGCATTCATTCTCGGTGCGATCTTTCCAAAAGAAGGGAACTTTGCGAGTTCTCTGGTCGAGAAAGTGGAGGATCTCGTGTCGGGCCTTTTCTTACCGCTGTACTTTGTTTCCAGTGGGTTAAAGACCGATGTTGCCACGATACGAGGTGCTCAATCTTGGGGCCTTCTTTTCTTGGTTATCTTCAACGCTTGTTTTGGAAAGATTGTCGGTACCGTTGTTGTATCGATTTTCTGCAAAGTTCCAGTTGCAGAATCCTTGGCTCTTGGTTTCTTGATGAACACGAAAGGTCTTGTTGAACTCATTGTCCTCAACATTGGTAAAGATAGAGGGGTAAGTCCTCAAACCCAAAATTTATACCAGGTTCTTGTTTAGAATTCTGTACTAATTTATAGGATATTTATTGAGTATAATGTTTCGAAATTTTTTCAAGATGTAATGACTCTATCTCTGTTGTATTTTGCAGGTCCTGAACGATCAGGTGTTTGCCATAATGGTTCTAATGGCGATCTTCACCACCTTCATCACAACTCCTCTAGTAATGGCGGTTTACAAACCGGCTAAAGCCTTGTCCAAAGGCGAGTACAAGCATCGCAACGTAGAGAAATCAAACGAGTCCAACAAACAACTCCGGCTTCTCGTCTGTTACCACAGCATGATCAACATACCGACAATGGTCAACCTCATCGAAGCCTCGCGAGGCACCAACCGTAAAGAAGGCCTCTGCGTGTACGCAATGCATCTCATGGAATTGTCCGAAAGACCCTCTGCCATTCTCATGGTCCACAAGGCCAGAAAATTTGGCCTGCCCTTCTGGAACAAGGGCATATTCGGAAATTCATCCGACGTCATCATGGTGGCCTTCGAGGTTTTCTGCCAGCTCAGCCGAGTTTCCGTACGGCCCATGACCGCTATCTCCGCCATGGCTACCATGCACGAGGATATCTGCCAGAGCGCAGAACGAAAACGAGCTGCAATGGTCATCATCCCTTTCCACAAGCATATGACCCTCGAGGGAACATGGGAAACTACGCGGTCTGAATATCGCTGGATCAACAAGAGGGTTATGGAGCAATCTCCATGCTCGGTTGCTATTCTAGTGGACCGTGGGCTCGGCGGCACGACTCGCGTCTCGTCGAGCGATTTCTCCTTGGTTGTGACCGTCTTGTTCTTCGGAGGGAACGATGACCGGGAAGCATTAGCGTTCGGTGCTCGAATGGCTGAGCATCCCGGTATTAGCCTAACCGTTGTCCGGTTCATCCCCAGCCAAGATTTTAAACGGGATAACGTGAAGGTCGAGATAACCGAAGATGGAACCGGTACAAGCGAGAACAATTTGCTCGACATTCAAGCTATAAACAAACTCAAAGCGAAGACCAAACAAGAAGAGAGTTCCAGTTCTGTTTCTGATTCTGACTCTCTAATCGTGTATGAGGAGAAATTCGTGAAACGTTCAGAGGAAGCTGTAGAGATCATCAAGGAATACAAAAGAAGCAATCTTTTCTTGCTGGGGAAGTCACCGGAAAGTCCGGTGGTGTCAGGTTTGAACGTGAGAAGCGATACGCCGGAGATTGGACCGGTCGGAAACTTGTTGATATCTAACGACGTTGTCTCGACGTCGGCGTCAGTGTTGGTGGTGCAACAGTACGTTCCCGGCCGAGCTCCTCCGGCCACCGGAGCTATTTCAAGAGCCGCGGTTGCGGAGTCGCCGGAGGATGATTCCGAGTGTTCTTAGGGCTTATCTTTTTGGCGCCCATATGCTCGGAGAAGGTGTGTATATATATATACACACACGCGTGGTCAATACCCTGTACCTGTAATGTGTATTTGATTATGTAAATAGATTACATAATGAATCTACTGTGCCTGTGGAAGCCTTTCATGTAGAAAAAAAAGTTTGTGTATTTTAGAAAATAAAGAATGAAATATCAGGGTTTGCTTGAAACCACACATTTTTCTTTATTTTCTTCGTACAATTTGCGTTGTATGTATCGCACACTCAATGGGTTGGTTTGTAAATTTTCCCCCAAAAAAAAAACGCGAAAATCTATTCACATCTGGAAGAATTAGAAAATGAATAAAATTTACTTCTTGTTTTAATTTCTGTTCTCTTTGAATTTCTTCATCTGACTATAAATTCAATTAATATTTGCTTTGAATTCATTATTATTATCAGAAATTATATTTTCTTTTACTTTTTTTTTATCGTTCAATTCGACCTAAATGTAATGTGAGGCAGTGTATATGAGAATCCTGGAGTGATCGCTTTTTCCAAATTCTGATTATATTTTCGATCGGTAGCATTTGGGTTCATTGAATATGAACTGAAAAACAAAACCACTGCATTAAATAATATGTCGTTAAATATGTTTAAGAAAGTAATGGAAAAAAAATAGTCATAACAAAATTACAGGGCGACAAGTTGTTCATCCATAAAATATATTACAAGCTATATACATAATATATGATCGACGCGGGCTATATATACGTTGTGTGGAGTCTATGGACCGTCGTGATTCGTGGCGTCTTCACTTCATCCCTCGCTCTCACTGTCACTGTATTCTGGGTGTGCAGCTGTCGCCAATTCTCTTTCGTCATTTTATCTGTTTCAAATCCGCTTGACGATGAATCATTAATCTTCAGATTTCTTTCTCGCATTATTTCAGATTAATCGACTCAGATCGGAGAATTTCTTCTCCGGGATTCTTCAATCACCGGATCCAGATATTTATCAGTTAGTCCATCTCTCTCTCTCTCTATTATATGTGTCGCGTGCTGATCCGCTGTTTGGTTTCCGAGAAAACGCCGTTCGAGAAAGTTGAAGGAGAGCTTCGACTTCAAGTACGCGATTTGGCTTTTAGTTCCTAATGATTTGGCGTTTTCCTCTGTTTGAGCTGTTTGGTTGCTGAGAAAATGCCGGAAAATTAGGAGGGGAAATGAAATCGCAATGCAGTTAGGCTTTTTGCTGTGTTCCCTTTAGGTCTACCCGGAGTCATCACTTCTCGTCATATCTCATCCCAGATTCTTTTTATTTTTTGATAATCTGAAATTTCTTCCCGGATTCATAGTTCTCTCTGTTTGTTTCCCGAGAAAATTGGAGGAAGCTGAACTCTTTCTTCCATAACATGAATGAATGGTTGCTAAGTTGAAGTAGATCTGTACATGATCTGACTCATGGTTTTTCTCAATAATGACATTGGATTCCCTCAGAGTATGAATGATCGGTTTGAGGGTTATTGAATCTGTTTGTATGATTTGGAATAATGATTGTCATCTCTCAGATCATAAGAAGAAGGAGGCATGGCAACAAACGGAACATGTCCGGAACCGATGAAGGCGACATCAAATGGGATTTTTCAAGGCGAAAATCCGCTTGACTACGCCTTGCCTCTCGTCATACTTCAGATCTGTATAGTCGTGGTGCTCACCCGCACTCTCTCCTTCTTCCTTCGCCCTCTCAGACAACCTCGTGTCATCGCAGAGATCGTCGTAAGTTTCTCCTTCTCCTCTCTCTATTGGATTTGGATAAGAAAAGTTTCCATTTGTAATTTTGTATGATTAATTTTTTTTGATAAATTACGTTACTTTTTTTTAATCTATTGACGATAATCGTTTGTGGGGCAGGGAGGTATACTGCTTGGTCCATCAGCACTCGGCAAAAGCTCTAAGTTTCGCGACACGATCTTCCCACCAAGAAGCCTCACGGTCTTAGACACAGTAGCCAACTTAGGCCTCCTCTTCTTCCTCTTCCTTGTCGGCCTCGAACTCGACCCCAGATCTCTCCGCCGTACCGGAAAAAATGCCCTCTCCATCGCCATCGCCGGAATGACCTTCCCATTTGTCCTCGGCATTGGCACCTCCTTCGCCCTCCGTCACACCATCTCTGACGGCGTTGACAATGCCCCTTTCCTCGTCTTCATGGGGGTCGCTCTCTCCATCACCGCCTTCCCCGTCTTGGCCCGTATCCTCGCTGAGATCAAGCTCTTGACCACTGACATCGGCAAAATCGCGTTGTCTGCCGCTGCGGTCAACGATGTCGCCGCCTGGATTCTTTTGGCGTTGGCTGTCGCTCTTTCCGGTGACAGCGACTCTCCCCTCACCTCTCTATGGGTTTTCCTCTCGAGTTGCATTTTCGTTATTTTCTGCGTCTTTGTTGTAAGACCCGGGTTGAAGTGGATGGCTAAACGCTGCCATGAAGGCGAACCCGTTAAGGAACAATACGTGTGTTGCACGTTAGCAGCGGTCCTGGCTGCAAGCTTTGTCACGGACGCGATTGGGATCCACGCATTGTTCGGAGCATTTGTTCTCGGTGTCATTTTCCCGAAAGAAGGGAACTTCGCTAGTTCTCTCGTCGAGAAAGTGGAGGATCTCGTGTCGGGTCTTTTCTTGCCGCTCTACTTTGTTTCGAGTGGGTTGAAGACCAATGTCGCCACCATCCAAGGAGCTCAGTCTTGGGGCCTCCTTGTTTTGGTTATATTCAACGCTTGTTTTGGCAAGATTGTCGGTACGGTCGTGGTTTCAATTTTCTGCAAGGTTCCGGTTGCAGAGTCACTGGCTCTCGGTTTCTTGATGAACACTAAAGGCCTGGTCGAGCTCATCGTCCTCAACATCGGTAAAGACAGAGGGGTAAGTCCTCAAACCCGAGTTTATTATGAAACGTTCGCCAATCTGTAGATCTAGTGACTGGATATTTTGTTGTGATTCAGGTCTTAAACGATCAGGTCTTTGCCATAATGGTCCTAATGGCGATCTTCACCACATTCATCACAACACCACTCGTCATGGCGGTTTACAAACCGGCTAAGACCTTATCCAAAGGCGAGTACAAGCACCGGACTGTAGAAAAAGCAAGCGAATCCAATGCACAACTCCGACTTCTCGTCTGTTACCACAGCATAATGAACATCCCGACGATTGTCAACCTAATCGAAGCCTCTCGAGGTACGGACCGTGAAGAAGGTCTCTGCGTTTACGCAATGCATCTCATGGAATTGTCGGAAAGACCATCCGCCATTCTCATGGTCCACAAGGCAGGGAAAAATGGCCTTCCTTTCTGGAAGAAGGGTCTATTCGGAAATTCATCAGACGTGATCATGGTAGCGTTCGAGGCGTTCCGGCATCTCAGCCACGTTTCAGTACGACCCATGACCGCAATCTCGGGAATGGCTACAATCCATGAAGATATCTGCCACAGCGCCGAACGCAAACGCGCCGCCATGGTGATCATCCCTTTCCACAAGCATGCAACGCTGGATGGAACTTGGGAGACTACTCGAACCGAGTACCGATCGATTAACAAGAAGATTATCGAGCATTCTCCGTGTTCAGTGGCGATTTTAGTCGACCGTGGACTCGGCCGTACGACTCGCGTCTCGTCCAGCAATTTCTCGTTGGTTATAACCGTTTTGTTCTTCGGAGGGAACGATGATAGGGAAGCTCTTGCTTTCGCCTTGCGGATGGCGGAGCATCCCGGTATAAGCCTAACTGTTCTCCAATTCATCCCCATCCATTTTCTTAAACCAGAAGAGGTGAAGCTCGAGATAACCGAAGATCGAATCATCGGTACAAGCGAAACTAAATTGCGCGACGCTCAAGCAATATCGGAACTCAAGGCAAAGGTGAAGCAACGACAGGAGAGCAGTTCTGGTTCGGATGCTGGTCCGAGTTCTGCCTCCTACTCTCAAATCGTGTACGAGGAGAAGATCGTTAAACGTTCGGAGGATGTCGTGGAGATTATAAGGGAGTATTCGAGAAGCAATATCTTCTTGGTGGGGAAGTCACCGGATGGTCCGGTTCTGTCCGGTCTGAACAGGATAAGTGACACGCCGGAGCTCGGACCGGTGGGGAATATGCTGACGTGGAACGAGGTTGTACGTACGCCGGCATCGGTGTTGGTGGTGCAACATTACGTTCCCGGCCGAGCTCCTCCGGTCACCGGAACTTCTGCAAGAGTGGCGGTGGCGGAGTTGCTGGACGATGATTCCGAGAGTTCTTAGGGAATTTTGCCTTCCGAAGTTCATTGGTGTTTATGGAATAAGGTCAATGGTTGAGTATGTGATTGTTTATTTATCAATGTGAATAATAATTGTAAGCTGAGTCGAATTTCACGAGGCCGGTCTCCTTAATGTATGATTTGGTTGTGTATGTGTCATCTATGTGTTATTGAAAAAGCACCAGTTCTTGGTAGATGGAGAATCTTACATGAGGAAAAGGTATCATATTAGCTGTTGGAAAATGTTAATTAGCACACTTTGGTACCATAAGCAGTTATTTTAATTACATTATCACATATGGAAATTTCATTTTTCTTAAAAAAATAAAGAAAAAACCGACCAAAACAGAGAGCCACGTGGCGCATTTTAAATGGCTGAATGGATTTGGAATTTCGTGGTACTGCCCGCAGAGTATCAGTTCCAGGACAACGCAAGTTTTCCACAAAGCAGTGGTTTTTGAACTGAGAGAATTTAGGGATTTTGAAGATAAGAAACAGATAAAAATGCTCCAACTTTGCTCCAATTTCCGCCCTCAAGTTCTTCTTCCTCTTCCTCGCCAAATCGGATTTCCAGATGGAATCTCGACTCCGTAAGTTATCTGATTCATCAGATTACGAGTGACGACTCTGTTGAATTCGATTCTTATGTTATCTGTGAACTTCTGCTCTGTTTCTCCACATGTTTCCTGCTAGTTTGAAGCTGTTCTTTGATGAATTGAATTCCAGTTTTCGCGTTAGTCGTATTGTGGCAGTCTCTTGGGCTTTTAGGATTATGACCACAACCTCTTCAAACCGACGTTTGCTGAAATCATTTGTTGTTTAATGGTGATTAATTTGCGAGTTACGCGAGGTTAAACAATGGTCCGAAGGTTTTCAAGTTTGCAGATTTCACTTTGATAATTTAGGGGCGGTGATGGATTCAGATTAGTAAATCGAGTCTTGATGATGGATAACCTATCTGCTGGACTTATATTGCAGTTTTCTGAATTTGCGTTTGTTTGTTTGCTATCTTCTAGCTGGTGGAGGAAAAATGGCTAAAAGTTTGTCTTTCACGTCTTGGTTTGTGCTTGGTTGAACCTCTGAGTAAAAGAATGTATTCTCTTCTGGGATGGAGGAAAAGTGGCTGAAATTTTTAAACCGTTTGTGTCTTCTCTTTGCGTTTCATTGAACAGCCAAGTAAAATTTGGTGCAATCGAGAAGAGTGTGAAGGTTAGTCCGGTGATTCGATGCCAGAGAGTGAATGCAACTAGAGGCGGAAACGATAGGAACAGGTCTGTGAGGCCTGCCAACAAACAAGGGAGCAAGAAATCGGTAATTGAGGGTCAAATCACCGAATCACTGCCCAATGGGATGTTCCGCGTTGATTTGGATAATGGGGACAACATCCTCGGTTATATTTCCGGAAAGATCCGGAAGAACAATATACGTATCCTTCCCGGCGACAAAGTTAAAGTTGAAATGAGTGTCTACGATTCGTCCAAAGGTCGTATAATTTTCAGGATGAGCAGTAAGGTCTAGAACACGGGTCTGCCGGGATTTTAGGAATCTCCAAGACCCCTTTTATTCTCTTCTCTAGTCTATGCAGATTGAAGCCAGGAAATAGAGCAGATTGATGGGAGAATCGTGTGCTGTGCAGTTCTTGACAATGGCAATGGTACAGAAGCTTAGGATGTACCTTGGTTTTTCTTGCAAAGCTTGTCTTCTTTGATTACATCAGCGGAAGGAGACTGAGAGATATGAACCTTGTGAAAGAAGAAAGATTCTAGGTCTGAGTTTCAGAACATGTCTCAGCTTTCACTGGTAATGTGAAATCTTGTTTTTTCCGAGTTATATTCTCTCTTTTGATCTTATGTTCTCCGATAATTAGAAACCCGGTTAAATCCCGTTCCACCGATGATGTTCCTTAGCTCTATTCCAAGATTTGGTGACAGAATGGGATTTCGTTTGTTATGTAAAAAGATTGGAACTTTGGCTCAATTTACAACTTCTAACATTGAATTTTACTCTTAATGAATGTAACAGACAGTCTTACCCACATTCAGATTCTTTTTGAATCTGTATCCAATTTTGGGCTTTGGTCGGATTTCGGTCCGAGTGTTTAGGGGTCTGTATTTGTTAGTAATGAGAATTGGATAAATCATATCAATAAATAGAAAGTCTCGTCATTTTGATGGGGACAGAAGTCGATAGACTGACGTAATTATATGGCAAACGTGCATGCGAATTTAACCATTTCGCGAGTGGTAGGTCGTTTTACGATCAAAATTCTAGGTGTATATATATATATATATAAGATCAATCCTGTTAATCTCATTCGAATTTGATTTACGAATAATCTCTTCGATGAAATTCAATCTGAATCCGAAATCATTTTATTTGAATTTTCGGGCTCGTGGATCGGGTCAACTGGAAAGTTAGTGAAGTTGGTTAACTAAACCCCTTTGACCTCTTTGGTTAAACCAAATCCTCCGGTTGACTTCTGCCTCATTCCCCCCACGTGTTAGGAAGATTTTTGGCGATTATTTTTCTCAAGGTTTTTCATAGATCGATATAAAAATATTACTTCTTTCGGAAAAAAAAAATATTTTCTGGCCCTAAACAAACATTTCATGAAAATTAATGTATATAAAATCGTTTACCTGAATACTTTTGGTCGTTATTGGTTTATTTAAAATTTCATTAAATAGGTAAACACCGATTCCTTGTTTGCGTCTCGACTTTGCATGTCCTCTAATCCAAAATACGTATTAGATATTGTATATTTATGATAAATTTATTTATATGAGAAGGAAAATGTAGAATAAAATCATAAAACTTGAACCGGTTTATCTTTTTTTTTTTCAAAATATAAAAGAAACATAGAAAAAAACAGTGAAATGATACAATTACACCCATCCCACGGTGGGCGAGTGGTAGGCCCTCCTGATGGCCGGGTCTCTTTGAGATCGTTAGGCGTATGTGGTGGTCGGTTCGAACTCATGGGAAGATAGGTGAGATGCAATTAACTGCAGTAAGGTAGCCCATTCGTTGAGGTTGGATGTAGTTGGACCGAAGGTCCGGTGAACCAACTTGATTATAAAAAAAAAAACAAAGAAAGAAATGATACAATTACAAAAGTCCAATAATATACATATATTTTTTATAAAGATAATATATTTAAATTTAACAGAGTAAATTAAAGGATGAAAAGCTCCAAATGATTTGGACCATAAACAGCAAAAATAATAATAATAATAATAATAATAATAATAATAATAATAATAATAATAATAATAATAAGAGTAGAGTACTCTTAGAGACAAAGCTAAAGAGTTATATGTTATTGTAAATAAGTCTAAGGACCACACTCGTGCTTGCGTGCTTAGACTCGAAGCAATTCCCAACGATGCAATCTTTCTTCTTAATCATTGCTTAGTAATTTCATCATTAAATTTTCCCGCTTTCACATTGTCCTAATCCGATCAAATTTCTTCATAGATTAGGGTTTTTTTTATAACTACGACGCTTTTAGTTTAAATTAAATTATCAACATAACGGTTTGATATTTTATTCACATAAAAACCAGTTTTTTAGATATTAAAAAAAGAATTTTGATTTATATAGAAAATTTAGTAAATATTTTGATTAATATAACTTATACTTCATTTTAAAAATATCCTATAACTTATACTCTAAATTTCATCCTTTATTTTATATATCGGTTAGACTAACAAATAACCAAACAAAATAAACTTTTAAATTCAGGTAACACCAACCATGCTTTCCCCGTTCTTGTGCGCCCTTTCACATACTCTAAAATTCCACTTTTAAATAACAATATTTAATTGGTAATATAGTTTATTTCGGCAAACCAATAGGCACCACCCACCCACTAAGATGTGTCCCTCAAAACAAATTTTGTTTATTACAAATAAATAAAATAAAACTCGCCATTGGATTGTATATAAATAGCCTCAGTATTACAAATAAATAAAATAAAACTCGCCATTGGATTGTATATAAATAGCCTCAGCAAGTGAAGTCTTTCCTCATATCCCCAAATTCCCCCCAAAAAAAAAAAAAAAAAAAAAAACTCAATTTCATTATTTCGTATGGCATCTCTAACAATGAAACACTCTTCCACTCTCTCATTCTTCTTCTTCGTTCTCCTTTTGTCAGATTCAGTTTCATCCTCTCGAAAAGCCTTCGATCCGAAAAAGCCATGCAAGAGATTCGTTTTCTATTACCACGACATCCTCTACGACGGGGACAACGTGGCGAACGCCACGTCAGCCGCCATCGTCAGCCCTCCCGGCCTCGGGAACTTCAAGTTCGGTAAGTTCGTTGTATTCGACGACCCGATAACGGTGGACAAGAACTACCTGTCGACGCCCGTGGCGCGCGCGCAGGGGTTCTACTTCTACGACATGAAAACGGATTACAACTCGTGGTTCGCGTACACGCTGGTGTTCAACTCGACCGAACACAGAGGGACGTTGAACATAATGGGGGCGGATCTGATGATGGAGAAGACCAGGGACTTGTCGATCGTCGGAGGGACCGGAGATTTCTTCATGGCCCGAGGGATTGCCACCTTTGAAACTGATATATTTCAGGGTGCCAAGTATTTTCGTGTGAAGATGGATATTAAGCTCTATGAGTGTTATTAATTAATTAGTTTATTATATCTATATATATATATATATATATATATTAACTGATCAATCATTGGTTATATTCACTAGTGTTTTGACTCGTGATTTGATTTTGTTTGTTCTTAATAATCGCTTCTTCTTTCAACTTCACGATGTGGTGTGTTTTTTTTTTTTAAATTTGTTTGTAATTTTGATGTTGTTATTGTGATTTTGTCTTGCAAATAAATGGGTTTCTATACACGTGAGAATCCTAGATATTTCTTGATTAATTCATAGAGTTGGACTTTTTTTTGTGAGACATGTTATGAAATATATATGATCGAAAGTATCAATGAGTAATTATGGGTTTTTTTTTATATATATATATGAATTCCCGTAGATTTGGATGCATTCTCAATGTGGGTTTCAACCCTATTGCTCATTTTTCTTTCTTTAATTAATTATATATATATATATATATATCAATGTTTTGTTACCTTATATATTAAGCTACTCATTATTACACTTTGACTCAAATTGAGTTGTTGGACCTACTCCACGTATGCTCATGATGCCCATTTATATGAAATCTATATGTGTGTGTGTGTTGAGAGAGAGACAGAGCTTTATCCAATGCGTTATTATAATGTTTACCCTAAAATTAATGATGCGACCGCCAACCATTTATTTAGCCAAACGATAAGACATGCAATCCTACGTTTCACCCGAAACCCTATACAGAAAGTTATATAATGTTTAATAAAAAAAAACGTTACAAGAATTCTACTCAACGAATTTTTTTTCTTTACATTCTGTTCATTCCGGCAGCACATTATTATTTTCGCTATAGATATGAAGAATCATTTGTCACATCGGATACAAGCTAGTGACATTAAAATCCAACCTACCAATCAAACATTTGTTACGACGGATACACTTCATTTTTTATTTTAATTTAAAACGTCAATTTGGTTTGAATTTTTAATTTGTAAAATAAATTTTGGGGAAAAAATTATATAAATTTTGTCGTACCAAAAATCGTGGACCGAAACGAGTGACACTGAGCCCAGATCCTAATCTAAAAGCCCCGCTATGTTACTTGGGCTTCCAAATTCAAATCCACCCAAAAAAAAAATTGGGTTACCGGTTGACCAGTCGGTTCGATTAATTCGGTTCGATTATTATTAACCGAACTTATAGTGCAGGAGTGAAACTTGGGCAATTTGGGTTTAGTTTCACCATTTTAAAGATGAAGGGGTTGAAGCTTAAGGTTTGTAGAACTTGAAATCATATACCATTATTTACATGCAAGTCCGTAATTGTGTTAGTATTTTCCGGTTAGTCCTTTTTATTTTTTTTTTTCTCGATTTTATTTCTTCAATTACTTTACACACACTTCTTTTCGCCGGGGCCGCCGTATACTTCTTCCCCGTCGCAGCCACTTTCCGGTGAGGATTCCATTTATGTTTCTTCTTCTTCTTCTTCTCTTTCATACGCCGCCGGATTCTGTAAGATCCGATCGTTCTCTGGAGACGATTCCTTCGGTCCAAGCGATTGCAAATACTGAGAATCCCTTTGTGAGTCCCGGCGAAGCAAACGCCTTTCATGGCGATTCACAGAGGCCGCATGGCTCCAGGTCTTTGGTATAATTATGGCAGATCCTCACTCTTGCGACCACCGTGATCGCTCTAGAGTCTGGAGGCCTTAGTAAAACTGATTGGCAAAGAGAATTTGGTTCCTAAAACCTTTGTTTTTTGTTGTTGAGAATTTTAAGTTTTGGTTGAAATCATTTCATCTGTTTAACAGAAACTTGGGAATTCTAGGAATGGTTTATGAATCAGGTGTGGCTCTATACCTTCCTCTTGCAGGCTCCGGAGATGGCGTTCAATGGACTCTTTCGTTCATCTCGCCGATTATTGAATTCCTCCGTCTTGGCTACTTCCTCGGTTGTCTCCTTGCCGAGACCTGTTTTTATTCCCAACCCTGCTCGTGATCCCTTTCCTGCGTTTCCCTCGTGGAACCGCAATGTTGAAATATGGAGCAAATGCAAGGAATTGAGTCAAGAAAATGTGAATGGTTTGTGCTGGAATTATAGATTGGTTGTTGGAATCTCGTCGTCCTCTGGGCCATCCTCGTCACCTGTATTGGAGGGAAAGCCAAAGAAAGAGGATGAGAAGGGTGGCAATGGTGTTGGAGAAGCATCTTGGATAGATCTGTATTTGCCAAAACAAGCTAGGGCTTATGCAAAGCTTGCTCGCTTGGATAAGCCCGTTGGAACATGGTTGCTTGCATGGCCTTGTATGTGGTATGTCTGTCTTCTCCTTTGGATTTCTGTGCTGAAAGGGTGAGGGGAAGTAAAGGTTGAATAGTGAGTGTACTGAAGTTTGGTGTAATCAAGATATTTGAAGTTTGAAATAGGGTGACATATTCTAATTAATAAGCATTGCTTTTTGTTGTTTTATTAGATTGCCTCTGTTTCTGTCTATTGTATTGTTTCTTGGAGGCAAGATTAGACCTTGTCCGTGGCTCTTAATTAGGTGAAGTGTATTTTGGCCTTGCACTAAGCTTCTTGAGAGCTCACCAGAGAGGTGCTTGTCTAGGGATTAGGAGGGAATTGATTAGATAATTTGATTAACTTAAATGCTCTTGGTGATCATAACTAAGAACCATATGTCATCTTCCTTGTCCATCAGTCAACGAAACACGTAGTTCAAGTTCTGAATTTTCTTCATTTTTTTATAGGTCTATCATGTTCGCTGCTAATCCTGGAAGCTTTCCAGATTTTAAAATGATGGCATTGTTCGGTTGTGGAGCACTGCTTCTTAGGGGTGCTGGTTGTACTGTAAATGATCTGCTTGATCGGGATATAGATACAAAGGTGATAATGATTTTACCTCTGCGTAAACTAAGACCCTTTTGTATGACATAAATATGATATCAAACTTTAATAGTGCCTGTAGCATGTTGCTGACAGAAACCGATAGGTATAACAGTGTATCTGATGCGAAGTACTCTTGGTATCTGTCTTATGCTTTAATTTACACTGTCATACTTCAATCTACGCCATCTCCAATCACATATATAGTCGAGTAATAGTTTATCACCACAAACCCAAATGAATATCCAACTTATGCTGCTTATGAATTTTTTCATGCTGTCATAAAATTAACTTCAGATATTACATGCATGGAAAGTGGAATTTGTTTCGGGGTGTTGGAACTTTCCAAGGCCTTGCATTCATTTTTCAGTAAAAGATGATGGATTGGTTGTGACTAATAATATTTGAGAAGCAAGATTATGTGAATGTGATGTTTTATCGCATGTTGATGAAGAGGTTATTTTTCTATTCAGGTGGAACGTACAAGGTTGCGACCTGTTGCTAGTGGTCTTTTGACTCCATTTCAAGGGCTTTCTTTTCTTGGCTTGCAATTGTTTTTAGGTCTAGGAATTCTTCTTCAACTTAACAACTACAGGTTGGTGTCTTGCAAATTTCTGAGTAGCTATGGCCTACTGATTGTGTTCCATACAACCAATCTATGCCAAATATGCGTGTGTATGTATGTTTAATAGAACACATGTGTGCATAAATGCACTTGCACATATGATTAACCCTGATGTAATTGACCCACAAATCTGAAAACCGAACTTCATGCTTGTGCAGTGCTTTTCTGTTAATTGTGTGATGAGTATTTTTGTCTACTTGGGCTAATATCAGTGGACTATTCTGCAGTCGTGTTTTGGGGGCCTCGTCTTTGTTACTGGTCTTCTCCTACCCTCTAATGAAGAGGTTTACATTTTGGGTAACTTAATCCATTCCAGCTTCTCTGGAGTACGCAGTAAATCATGTTGTTCGCCTTTTGTCTGATCTATCTGTAATTTTATTTGCAGCCTCAAGCGTATTTAGGTTTGACATTTAACTGGGGAGCATTGTTAGGATGGGCTGCAGTGAAAGGAAGCTTAGAGCCAGCTGTGGTTTTCCCTCTTTATTTATCAGGAGTCTGTTGGACCCTCGTCTATGATACTATATATGCACACCAGGTATGTGTGGACATCATTTCTTATCCTTAGCTTGACTTTCTGTATCATAGTAAAATAGATTTCCATAGTGTCACACTTTGTACCTAGAGAAGTGTATAGTTCCTATAGATATAGCCAACCAATTTGAAATTCTTTTTTCTTTCTCCTTTCACATATCCTCTTGAAGTGGTTTTAAGTAATTGCAGAATAGATTAATTCTCGAAGTGCATGTATTGCTTGAACTTGTACCCTTCTTTCGGGATTTGCCAGTCCAAGGTTCTTTTCAAAATTTGCTATGTGTCTCATGCTGATGCATGCGTTCTGATCTTTGACTTAGGTTTATTAGCATCAAAGAAAATGAGGCCACTCCCCCTCCCTACCTTTTCCCCCCTTTCTTTTAGCCGGGCCACTGCCTATATTTTCAAGACTTGGTGATTTAAAATTTATGCTTAACACCAAAATAATCTTCAACTTGGTGATTTTTAATTTTTTATACATTGAAGAATGATTAGTATATGATTAAGCGCTCTAGCATCATCTCAGTCTCCATATTCAGTTCACTGGAAGTTCTCCTAGAACGATGGTAAATTTCAGCTATTGTGGATGTCTTTTTACTTTTGTCCTTTGTTCTTTTCTTCTCGTGGAGTCATGGACTTAAGGTGTAAGAATCGGTTGTCCTGCTTCCAGGACAAAGAGGATGATGTGAAGGTTGGTGTCAAGTCAACAGCCCTAAGATTCGGTGATTCAACTAAGCTTTGGCTTACTGGATTTGGCTCAGCATCCGTGGGCTTTCTCGCTCTGACCGGACTGAATGCTGATATTGGTACTTGACTAAGTTCTAAACTTCTGTGAATTCTTCATAATGCCCCCTTACAATCTCCATCTCCCTCCTTCTATGATTTGTATCGAGCAGGGTGGCCCTATTACGCATCACTGGTGGCTGCTTCGGGACAGTTGGTGTGGCAGATAGGATCAGTCGATCTATCATCTCGGGCTGACTGCAACAAAAAGTAATTCCCCATGGAATGTTTCACTTTTCTGAGTTTGATATTGTTTGGTACTAAATATTTCCTCTTCTTTTCGGGCAGATTTGTGTCCAACAAGTGGTTTGGTGCTATTATTTTCAGCGGGATTCTACTCGGAAGAACTCTTCAATAAAAAAACGAGAGGCCGCCTGTTAACGACCGTAACTTTGAGGACCCTATCCATCAAGAATGGAAGCAGATTTTTCTTTCAAGCATACCTAAAATTTCCCGGGTTTATGAGCTTATGGAAAGAGTTCATAGTGCAGAAATAAAAAAAGGAGTCACTTCCGGGGAGACATAAAAAATCACATTGGTGAATTGGGTTTTTGTTCTTAATGTCATCCATGGAAGCGTGTGGCGGCTATGGCGGCGGTAACAACCATTCAGAGCAAATCGCAGATTTCACATTCAGACATTCCTTTCCTCACCTGACTCTTTGCTCAGTTCTGGTTTCTCTATTGCCTTTTTTGCTCATTTCACTGTCTTAAACACTCATTGTCATTTGTTAGCTTTCCTATTACAAGAAGTCATATTGTTGTAATCATTTAACAGAACAGATTATAAGTAATGTAATATAAATTATGCTAGTTGAGGAAATAAAATGTAATTATAGTTGAAACATTTGTATTATATCGGAAGTGTCCAAGTACATTCCTCATTTCAATTATCTTCCAAGTGGACTGATAATATGGTCGGAATTTAATTTATAACCTTTCACACGCGTGACGTTAGCCCAAACACAAGCGCGTAAGGACTTTGTCCGCGGATCATGTGTAACTCATACTTAAAAAACCCAATGAATATTCGCCACGTGGATAGCCATCGCCCGATCTCCGACATAAAAGCTCCATTCTCTTCTCGCCGTTTCGCACTTGCTATCTCACTAGTTTGACTTTTCCTTGACTTGAAAAGCTTTGACAATGGGAAACAGACACGGCACCTCCAAGACCAAATCCTCCGATCACCCGCCGCCGCAGCCGCCGTCCTCCGACCACCACCGCCACCATGCTCCACTTACCGGCGAACGCCGTGGATCCTCCGGCTCCGGAGCCTCCCGCCCGGCAACTACTCAGCAGATCGGTCGGATCCTGGGCCGACCAATGGAGAACGTGCGGACCACCTACGAGTTCGGTCGCGAGCTCGGGAGGGGCCAGTTCGGCGTCACTTACCTCGTCACGCACAAGGAGACCAGGAAACAGTTCGCGTGCAAGTCGATCCCCACGCGCCGCCTTGTCCACCGCGACGACATCGAAGACGTCCGCCGTGAAGTCCAGATCATGCACCACCTCACGGGTCACCGGTAAAATTTACTGCCATTGCTTCTTCTGGGTTTCCGACAGCGGTCCCAAATGTTTCGTCCCCGTTTCCAATTTTAGTCTTTTAAGATTTAAATCCATGAGTATATCTGGGCCTTCTTCTGAATCGATTAAAATGCTGGAGTTTCTTGGGAAGAAGCTGAAATTGATTCTCAATATGTTTATCTGGACTGTCTCTGGCTGGTGATGCAATGTAGTCTAGTGGGCAAAGTTTATGAATCTAGCCACAGAATTCTTGTGGATTGTAAAGAAGATCAATGGGGGCATTGACCTTGGATCCAAGTTGATACTGATGGTAATTGAGTTGGATGTGTAGGAATATTGTGGAATTGAAGGGAGCCTATGAAGACAGGCACTCAGTGAATCTAGTGATGGAGCTGTGTGAGGGCGGGGAATTGTTCGATAGGATCATAGCTAAAGGGCATTACTCAGAGAGAGCAGCTGCAGATTTGTGTAGGCAAATGGTCATGGTTGTGCATAATTGCCACTCTATGGGTGTAATGCACAGAGACTTGAAGCCCGAGAATTTTCTCTTCTTGAGTAAAGATGAGAATTCCCCGTTGAAAGCTACAGATTTCGGGCTCTCTGTGTTCTTCAAGCCAGGTAGAGTCGGATTTAATCTGTCATGTTCGGCATTTCGTACCTTAAACTTTGGTTTTACATTACTTGCATAGGGCAGTCTTATTTCTTGATATTGGTGTTGATTCCTCGATGGACATGAACTGTATAGCCGATTTCGTTAGTGCAGGCGATGGCTTTAAGGACCTCGTAGGAAGTGCATACTATGTTGCCCCTGAAGTTCTACGTCGGAAATATGGACCCGAGGTCGATATCTGGAGTGCTGGTGTGATTCTTTACATCCTTCTTTCTGGTGTTCCGCCTTTCTGGGGAGGTATTGTCTTTTTTTTCTCTCTCGTTAACAGTGGATAGCTATCCTTTCTTTTTATTTTTTCCCTGATAATCCTGTATGTTCCTTGTGCAGAGAGTGAACGGGGAATCTTCGATGCCATTCTTCAAGGACATCTCGATTTTTCGTCTGAACCTTGGCCTTTGATATCCAGTGGGGCCAAAGACCTCGTGAAGAAAATGTTAGCGTATGATCCCAAAGAGCGGCTCACAGCTTCGGAAGTTCTGAGTGAGTTTGCCTTTTTAGGAGACCGAAACTAGTCTCGTGCTTTGTGTTCTTACATTGGCAAGTGTTGGCAAGTGTTCTTACAATGCACATACCATCGAAGCTATTCAATGCCGGCCTTATTGATTGATTGAATTACATGTGGCAGATCATCCATGGATGAGAGAAGGCGGGGAGGCATCTGATAAACCGCTTGATATTGCTGTGTTGTCGAGGATGAAACAATTCCGGGCGATGAACAAACTCAAGAAGATAGCCCTCAAGGTAAGAAGGAAAGAACAGTAGTAGTCAACCCTTCCAATCTTTTTTCGATTTTCCTCACGAATCTGACCGGTCTCCTTTACGATTCAGGTTATTGCGGAGAATCTGTCTGAAGAAGAAATTGTGGGTCTAAAAGAGATGTTCAGATCTTTAGACAGTGATAACAGCGGGACGATCACCCTAGAGGAGATGAGAGCTGGTCTCCCGAAACTCGGTTCTAAGATCACAGAAGCTGAAATACGACAGTTAATGGAAGCCGTAAGTCTTAACCGTCTGTCGTTTCGTGAAACTGGATTCTCTTTTTTCTCATCAAGAAGCCAGCAAATCTACAAAGATCGTTATCGTATGTAACAGGCCGATGTTGATGGAGATGGATCGATCGATTACTTGGAGTTTATATCGGCCACGATGCATATGAACAGAATCGAGCGCGAGGATCACTTGTACACGGCTTTCCAGTACTTCGACAAGGACAATAGCGGGTAAATTACCTGTCTTCTTTTTCGTTTCTTCGTGTTTAGACATCATCGTCCTTGTCTTTGATGGTTGGTTCTGTAGGTACATAACCATGGAAGAACTCGAGCAGGCAATGAAGAAATACAACGTGGGCGGGGATGAGAAGAAATCCATCAAAGAGATCATTGCCGAAGTAGATACTGATCATGTATGTTCTCCCATCTCTTCTTCTTAAAAGTTTTCGACTTTACCGTCGTATTGTTCTTATTAGCAATCCATACCTTTCTAAAGGCTCCGCCTTTACGCATACTTCGTCGTAAACGCAATTCTCGAACGCGAGATTCTTACAGCGGATGTGAATCGCAGTCGCGGTTACATAGCAGAGACAATAGTTTATCAAAGTTGCGTTTTTTGACAATCTTTGCGTTTTGGGGTTGGGGCAGGATGGAAGAATCAACTACGAGGAGTTCGTGGCGATGATGAAGAAGGGAAATCCGGATATGGTAACCAACCGCCGCCGGAAATAAATTTCAGATTGATACAAAAAAAATAATATGCAAATTTTTTTGGGTAATCCTCTTCTTCTACGGTGCGTCGCCATGGAATGGAACTTCTGGGTTGTTTTTACGTTTCAGTCTCTGTTTTTTTTTTTAAAAAAAATATTATTGTTATGAAAAAACAGGTCTCTTTTCAAGCATTGTCGTGTTGATGATGTCTATGATGAGATTGTGCATACATTGTACATGTATATGTGTGTATACATACACATAGATACAGACCATCGAATCGAATCGAATCTGGCTGCGAAGTGAAAAAAAAAACAGTTTTTTTTATATATAAGAAACCAGTTTAAAAAAAAGGGAAAGAAAACCAACACAAACAAATGATAATCGTCAGCTTTCCTCTCTAGATTCGATTCGGATTCAATCTGCCTAGAAAATCAATCTCCGTGTGTCTTCTTTGATCGCTGAGCGACGCCGCATCTTCCTCGCCGGCGGCGCCGATCATGGTATATTTTCCCCGGGCTTTTTTTCTTTCGCTCGATCGAGTCTTAAACCCTAACTTTCTCGTCGTTTCTCGGGAAAGAAAAGGTCGATGTGATGGAAAATGCCACGGTAGATATCTGAAATGAGTGTACCGATACCGTTATCATCCCGCCGAATTTACTTATATGCAGTAGACGATACTGGTCGAATCCGAAATCTGTTTGATTCTTGGATTAAGTTGTTTATGCTGGGTTTTTTAAACTTTTTTGTAAACAATTTCTCGAGATACGCTTTTTTCTGAACTTGTATATTGATCTGTATGCTATAGCTTTGTTCTCAACTTCAAATTTTTCGAGATTTGTGTTCCCTAATGCGAAGTTGCGATGTTCAAATGAATCATGAGCGATCGTTGATGGAGTTGAAGGCAGGGAAATGTGTATACCTGTGCGTATATGTGCGCATATTGATTGAAGCTTGAAGCAATTCAACTTCTCTCCTGCGTGTTGTTGAAAATGTGTTGTTTCCCTCTTGAAGCAGGTTGAGAGGAGAAGAAGGTGTAACCAGGTTCTTCTCTTAGAATATCAGAGTTTCGGTCTAGTGTTTGGAGATTTGAGTATTTCTCCTCTTTGTGTATAAATGTACATTCTACGGAGGATAGAAAGATTACCAATCCGAAGATACGATATTTGGCGCGTTTTCTTTGATATTTTGGACAATAACTCTCCTCTCACTCATCAAGTATATGGTTTTTGTATTAATTGCTGACGACAATGGTGAAGGTGAGAACATGTGGTTTAGTAATTAGTTCACTTGTTTTTTTCCTTCTCATTATGTTATGCGGATCAAGACTTTGGCTGTCGGGTTTGTGTTGCAGGTAGAATTTTCGCATTGTATTCGCTGCTCTGCAGACACGCAAGATTGTCTTTGCTTCCAAATCAGCAAGCGGCCGATGAGGAGATCTCCACCTACTATGGCCCTGGGGATGCGAATAGGAATTTGCCCGGTTCTGCCCTCAAAAGTCTTATAGAACGACGTAAAAGATCAAAAACAGCTTTGCTTGTCTTAGTCTTGGTTGGAACTTCAATGGTCATTACCATTGGCGTCCTTACACCAGCAATTTCGGGTAAAAGGGCTTCCATTTCTGTCTGGCCTTAAAGTATGTTGCCATTTTGAACAGCTCAATGTGTTAGCATCTAAACTTGTCTTTTTTTTTTCTTGCAGTCTCTTCATCCATTGATGGGCTTATAGCCAGAACAAGTATGAAGCACAGTAAGTAACATTTGCAGTCTCTGTGGTGCATTCCTTACACATGTATCTTGGCTTCAATTCTGAAACTCCTGTCTGGCCAGAAAGAAAGAAAAGCCCCGGCTTTTAAATGAACAAATTCAACATTGTGATTTATGATTCTTCACAATTTTCTTCCCTGCCCAGGTACTGCCTTCTGCTAGTTAGACTTTTTGTTTTGCAGCACAGTGGCACGAATAAAGTGGCCTTCTTATTTGCACCTATCATGATCTTGTGGTTGCTGTCTATCGCATCTGTTGGTATGTACAATATTGTGACATGGAATCCCAGAGTATACCGAGCTTTATCTCCTTTTATATCCATAAGTTCTTCAGAGAGACAGGGAAAGACGGCCAGCTATCCCTTGGAGGCATCCTTTTATGCATCACAGGTAGAATTTATCTCATGTTTAAAGTTTGATTGAATGCATATTTGCTTTGGCCTTCCAATTCATGTTGGCTTTTGGTGAAAACTTTCAGGAACGGAGGCCGTCTTTGCTGAACTTGGCCAATTTACGGCTATAAGGGTATGCATATCAGCTTATAAATTTCTTAAAATGAGGCATAATAAGGTTCTTGGATACTTGCATCTTTGATTTTAGGAACCAAATCTTAAGATTATAAAAGATGACATACAAATATAAGAAAATGGATTAGAAAAAGTAGCATATACAGTTTCGGGAACCACTGAGGACTGCTTTAATCTTGAACGCATGCGATGTTTCGAAGATGTTATTTTATGAAAATATCTGTTTACTTTTTCAAAGTTCCTTAAAAATAAAAAGAGAGATAAAAACTATCATTTTACAATCTCATGGTTTCGTGCAGTTTGCGTTCTGTTGTGTTGTTTACCCGTGTCTGGTGCTTCAGTACATGGGTCAAGCCGCCTTTTTATCGAAGAATTTCTCTGATCTACATGTAAGCTTTTACCCTCGATCCCAGGTAATCATTGAATCTATCTTTATTTACCGTCTCTGCTTGTTCTGCTTCAGTACATGGGATTACAGAACTTGTCTTCCTCTCCTCCTCGTGGACGAAAATCTCGAAAGGTGGTTGGTTCACTCTCCTTCTGTCGGTAATCTTCACCCTCATCATGTACATATGGCACTATGGATCCCGGAAGAAGTACCTATACGATCAGCACAACAAGATCTCCATGAAATCCATCCTCACTCTCGGCCCGAGCCTCGGGATAATCAAAGTCCCTGGCATCGGTCTGATCTACACCGAACTTGCCAGCGGTGTCCCGGCCACCTTCACCCACTTTTTGACGAACTCACCCACATTCTTCCAAATCGTTGTCTTTGTCTGCAGCAAAACCGTACCTGTCCCTTACGTCCCGCACAAGGAACCGTACCTAATCGGCCGGGTCGGCCCAAAAACGTACCGGATGTACCGCTGCATAATCTGAAACGGATACAAGGACTTGAACAAAGATGTGGACGACTTTGAAGACGAGCTTGTGATGAGCATAGCTGAGTTCATCCAGCTGGAAGCAGAAGGCTCGGGCTCATACCCCGCAGACAGGTCCATCGACGGGAGGCTACCGGTGGTCAAAGCATCGAACAAGTTTGGGACGAGGCTGTCCCGGTTGATCTCGGAAGCAGACATAGCTCGAGAACTCAGACGACAGTGACGAACAGCAAATCGGAAGCACTGGTAAGGCTGAAGGAGAAAGAACTGCCGAGGCTGAGCATGAGGAGGAGGATACAGTTCAGACCGATGGACACAAGTTCAGACAGCCGGAGGTGAAGGAGGAGCTGTTCGATCTGGTGGAGGCGAAGGACGCGGAGGTTGCCACCATTGTTGGGAGTGGTCATGTGAAGAAGATTGTTATAAACGCCGGGGACTCTTTCCTGAGGAAGAACTGTAGGAGCCCTGCTGTTATGTTCACATTTGTCTCGTTAAGGTTGGCATGAACTATTCCGTGTAGGAAAGGGGACTACTTTCACTCTTTCAAATTATGATGAATCCAAATGG